ATATATATATATATATAATCAATAAAAGGATGGAATACTGTTTTTTACAAAAGCTATACCAAAACAAATTCATTATCAAAAGTTTATAAGTAATTTAATTCAACTGCAAAATATAAAAAATAATTTCGCTATGAATAGCTTTTACAAAATATAAAAAGTAAAAAATTGTAAGTAAGAAAATATGAGTTTTATGAAAATAATGCTCATGACATTTTAATTTTTAAAATTGATTAAATATTTTTTATTGAAAAAAAACATTTGAATTTTTCTTTTCATTTAATAATTAGTATTTTCATTCTCAATTTTGATTTCGTATTTGATTTTGTAATTTTTGTAAGGATTGATGATTATTCCGTATTAAGCACTGAAATATCACTTAAGGCTATTTTTTCTGATAAATTAATTTTACGATCAATCTTAATCAGATCAATTTCAAACCCGTTTTATGCAGATCAAAATTTCAATCATTCTCAGTCAGGTGTTTAACTAGCTAAATCATTTTTCGGGTTTCTTTTATTATTCATAATGCATTATTTTAGCTCCAAAAAAAAACTAATAATATATGCAATGATTTTTGTTTGCATTAACAATATTGCACACACTGCCGTTCGTAAATTCATTAAAAGATGCACCGATTTGTTGTATCATCCAGTCTGATAAATATTTAATTTAGTTATTGTCAAACTAAGCTAACTTTTCATTTTAGACTAAGCTAAGCTAACTTTTGGTTCAGTTGCATGCTTCTGTCTTCTTTTTCTAGCCTAGGTTTTTGCTAATTTTTTGTCAAATATATTGCTATATTAGTCTTCTTTTTACCAGCACGCATTTTAATTTATCTTTATAAAGCACTTATAGTATTACTTACTTATTTCGTTGTAACTGATATAATTTTTAGTACTTGCTTATTACTATTACTTTTAATAAACAAGTTAGTTATCCGCTTTTTTAAAATTAAATTTAAAAAATTACAAATATACTTTAAATGTTTACTAACTCAGTTCGGGCATTAAAATATCACTTTAGGCTATTTTTTTGTAAATTGATTTTACAATCAACTTTAATCGAAAACAAAAAGTCAACAGCAAATTAAAGTCATGAAGAAAGCAATCAAACTTTTTGCCTATCATAAAATGTGAAAAGCATGCGATCAAAAAAATATTTTAAAAGCATTCCCATAAATTATTTATTATAAAACGAATAAAATTTTTAAAAAAAATAAGTTTTACTGTCATTTTTTTTAAAGAGATCAATTTTTGATATGTTATTAATCAATTTTATGAATTTTTGTCATGAACGAAACAAATTTTGCTAGATTTCTATGTATATCTGTGCTCTAAAACTTTGTACAAAATTCACAGATGCTAGCTCTTACGTTTAATCCCTAAGCTATTAGCTATTTGAATAATTAAAAAGTAAAGTTAAAATTTGAAATTTGAAAAATATGAAGAAGAATTGTAATCTTGGAATTTGCCAATAATGAAATTTAATGGGCCGAATAGATGGCCTGACTTCTTTAGCATCTCCCAGAACAACAGTTAACGATGTGTTACTTTTATTGCTTTCAGGGCAAAAATATGTAACAAAGATTTCACTCCCCTTCTTATTGTAGCATAAGTTTCCCTCATTTATTCAGATAAGGTCAAGAAAAGTCAAAGGTTAGCAAGTGTATATGCATTTTGTTGCTCTCATAAGGACAACTTCATGATAATATTTATTATCGTTGTATTAATTATTAGCTAACTTTTGTTATCAAATAAATTTCTTTATTTGTCAATTTATTTAATTAGTGTTACTTGTTTTTGATGTTGCCGAAAAAGACATTTAAATTTTGCATTTTTAAACCAAACAATTGTTAATACTTCATTGCTCCAACTCAAAATGTTATACTTTTAAAAATAAGTATAAGTCACTTTAAGACAGCGTATATTTACGAAAATTTATGAAAAACATTGAGTATTTATAAGGATTTAGCAAGTAATAAAAGCTATATCAAATTCAAATAATTTCAGTTTTGTTAAAGTTGATATGTGATCAGTTATTCATAGCCTTTGATATTTTAGATTACGCAAATACTGTGGATAGCTTACTGATAATTATCCGTTTTCACGTAAGCCCTTACTTAGGATAATTGTTCTAAATAAAAAATGTTAATATAACATAATTGTATTATTTTTCATTTTGAATACATCATACTGCTATTCTTATTTATGTTGTGATTATCCCACGTGATACATGTTAGCATTTTAATAATTAAGCGTAAGGCTTTAGAAGTAAGTCTAATTTGTTTAGCAGATATTTTTTTAATAAACTTTCGTTTGCAAACTTAACTAAAAAATTTGCAAAAAATATTAGGCTTATTTCAAAATTCTAATCAGCATTTCAGTCTATTTTCAAATTTTATTAAATTGAATTTGATCCAATCAATAATTTTCTAAAGTTAATTTTTACAAATTTTTGAACTTACTACCACTTTTATCAGTTCAATTCTTATCCAAAAATGATTAATAATTGCTTGCAAAGAATTCTCAGAATCTATAGTTTTTTCATTTAAATTTGTTTGATGGAAAATAAATTGTTCATTATTTAACTTATTGTTTTATTGATTTGAGTCAATTTTCCAACAAAAAGATTTGTGTGAATTTTTTAAAAAATAAGAAAAATTACAATTTTATTCAAAGAAGAATCAATTGACTTGATCTGATTATTACTAGCTTTGTTATTTTTTTTTAAAATAATTCTGTGCAAAGTTGTAATTAATTAGCATTTTTGTACTTTAATTAATATAAATAGTTATGATAATACTGATTATGGTTCTCAATTTCAGCCTATTTTTTTTGAAGTTATTTAATTATTTGCAATAAATGGTTTCTTATAATACCTTCAAAATTTTAGTACAATTAATGAAGCCAAAATCTTTAGGCATCATTATATCCAATTAAATTCATAGTTCAATCTTTTAATGGATACCATAAAAATTCTTTTCAAAAATAATTTAAATGAAAAATTCTATTTCAATAATTTGAAGCAAAAGTTGCATGAAGAGATTCAATTTTTAATCTATATATAAAGCAAAAGTTATTCTTAAATCTATTTTTTATTAATTTGAAACTTAAACTTTGACCTTAGCTTTTGCGCTTAATAAAAGTTATGAATAGCTTTGATAAATAATAATTCTGACTGATATTTAAAAGCAAGCAGTTGTTAATTGGATTATGTGAAGGAATGATTTTGCAGATGTTCAATCATTGTCAGCAGTATTCTTCAAACTTTGCTAATAACCATTTAGCTAAGTTATTCCGCGATAGCTGTCAACTGCCTTTAAACATAATGCTTGGACTTATATCTTGGAATAAAGTTTCTCCAAAAAATTCATTACAATATGATAATTTTATTGAAAAAATGCCAAATGAATTATTGGTAAAAATTTTTCAATACTGTGATGATAATGACTTTGGTAATTTACGTTTACAGTGCTCTCGATTCGATCAGGTCATCATTGATATGATTATAATCTGATACTTTTCTTGAGCTGTTTTTTATTACAATTAAGTTTTTGTTTTTAAAACAAAATGATTAATTTGATTAAAAATTTTAACTAAATTATTGATTTGTTATTTAATTTACTTCATTGTCAGTTCAAATCAAAAGTGCTATTTAAACATTTCAAATAGTTAATTCATATTCTATAAATAAATGGTATTTATCAAGCATATTCTTTCATTCTCTGATGCACAATAAATTATTAATTTATGACTTGACAATTTTTCAAGATTTTGTTACAGTTAATAACAACATGTGGTGTTTTACTGGCCAAACGATATCGTCAACGATTGGTAACATGTTTAACAATCACATATAATGCAAGCAACGATACTTTTGTATTAGCCACGTTGAAAAAAAGTCAATCAAATAAAAAAAATACGATGGAAATTTCACGTGCTGACGTATTACGTGGTTGTTATCATAACTTTAGGTAACCTTAGAATCTTTTTTTGATTAAAATTAGTTTGCATTAAAGGTGCGACCCTGTTACGTTCACTGCAGTGATGATTAATAAATAAAACTATAAAATATATACATGGAAAAAATTGTAGCTAAAATGTGTAGAAAAAAGTAAATTTTTTACATTGCTTATTTTCATTTGTAATGTTTTTTGTACTTATATTGAAATGCTGAAAAAAATACTGTGCTAATTTTATAGTTGACTGAAAATTTAATTTATCACTGATAAATCTTCTCATTTTCATTAGTTCAATTAAATGCATTCCAATTTTAGGTACTGTTTCCGTCGATTTCGCGTGTTAGGCTTGCAGTTTCACAACCTTCCGCTTTGTTCACGTACGCTTCGTTACTTTTGTGATTTGCTTTCGTGTTGCTCAACTCTAGAGCCTAAAACACTTCGATTATGTGATTGCTATGTAGCTAATTTACAACATGACGCTTTAATGCGATTAATGAATTTATGCGCGAAATCCCTGATCGTCTTGTCATTTATTGTTAGTTTAATTTTTGATTCAAATTTTATAAAAATATGAAACGATTTGTTTCTACAAATTTATTTTTTTGCAAATATTGAGTGCTCATTATTAAAAAATGTTTAAGGTTTTTTAAGCTAAATTATCACAATACAAAAAGCATAATTAATGTGCAATTACCATGATTAACAAACCTTTGGAACAAATATCTGATGACGATCACTAAAACGGTTTACAAGTTTTTTGAGTTTAAGAACTTAGCTGGTGTGAAACCATCGCTATTTCACGATGATCTCTTCCAAATGATCAATCGTAAAACGATATATGTGTTAATGATTCAGTCGATTGAATTTCATTTTTCCGTACCACTTGGTGATCAGCATTTACGTTTGGGAGATTCCATTTTACTCACTTTGCCAAGTACAATGCGTAAAATTAAACTTGAAAAATGTCAAAATATTACTGCTGATGGAATTTGTAACTATATTGAGGTAATAACAAAAAAATATTTATGACCTATTTTACTTTTCAAAATTGTTGAAATAATAGGACTTAAATAATGATGGTAATTTTAATAGTAAGTTCAGTAGTGATAAAGATAATGACGATTGCAATAATTATAATGATGATAATAATAGTTGATGGGTGGAATAAGTAGTACAGTACTCTGTTAGAGTAATAAGTGATCATTAAATATGTTTGGGAAAAAGTGATCTTAGCAAGCCAAATTAGCATAAAAATTAGCATAATTTACAGCGATACTTTCGGAGGGAGGAAAAAGGAACAACAAGAAATTACCGCTGCACAGAAATAGCTTTTCGCCAATGCAAACGACTTTCAACAGCTCAATTTGAACGAGCTGCCCAACTGCGCCATATTTGCATTGATGGCGGTGAGCAACCTGATGGAGAATATATTATGAGTTGGGTGAAGCGCAGGCAGTATCATCTCAAACATGCACATCATAAAAGAGTAAGTGACTCCCTTACGTAAGATTACTTGCACAACCTTCTATTTATTTGCACTGTAAATAGCTGGACTTCTATTACTATTACTAGTCATGATATTATTTTTAATACTTATTTTTAACTTTAAGAAATAACTATTTAACATTTTTTGTATGAATAAACAAAATCAAATGTTTTGCCGCAAAAATTCAAATGATAAAAGCTGTATGAAATTTAAATATTTAAAAATTCTCATGCATCTCTCTGCATTGAAGTATCTTCAAATAAATACATCTCAAATGCAAAAGAAATACACTCTTAATAAATTTACAATATTTTTTGAAAACTTGAGATAAATATGATATTTAAGTGTTTTTTTTTTCAGTTGTTAGTGATTGAAATTGATAGCCATTATCTGACCACCCAAAGCGGGCTTTCTTCGCCAGCAGCTATTGAAGAAATAACTCAAAATCCATCTCATCTGATGCCGTTCTTAGGCTTATGTCCCGTACATCATCATCCTGTACTTATTGAACGAATTCTCATGCCGGCAGTAAACTCTGCTCGAATGAGCCAAAAATTGAATCAAGAATGGCAGAATTCTGTCTTGTCGAGAATAAATCGAAGATATTCAAAAATAGCTCAACATTCACCTGGATTCCTTCAACCAGTGATTAAAACAGCCAACATTATTCGAAGAATAAATTATTCAAATCAACCATCGCATCGGTTATCGTTTCCTCAGTGACAACCCTTATTCAATTAATATTGAAAAATATGCAAAATTTGAGTCACATTGTTTCAAATATGCAAATATTTCACGCCGAATTCATATCGTAACAAGCTTATTTGCTGCTTTTTCTTTGCATATTAATTGTTCAGTCACATTTATATTTTTTAAATGGACGATCTCATTGATATATTATGCATTTTATGCCTTTTCTGAAAATAAAAAACAACCTTTGACATTGTTCTACAAAAAATCACTTTATATATCCCTGACTTTTAAAGAAATCACGAGTTAAACCTTATTTTAAGCACTGTTTAATAATGAAGTCAAATACTGCCAACTGTAGATCAGATTATGAAGTCAAATTTATACTTATTATCTCGAATTACAGAATGAAAATAACTATTAAAAAACACGTAATAACACTTAATAATTGTAACGACAATCACTGGCAGTTATTTAACACTTATATATAAGTCAATTCTGTAAAGCAAGCAATTATAATATTGCAAGCAGTAGCTAATTACTTTTTATCCTATGGCAGTTATATATTCAGGAAGCCTTTTGGACATAAAAGTATTAAAAACTTATGCCTAAATAACCGTTGCTCAATCAGATCTTTACAAACTATTTAAGTTAATACTTAAGTTAATGTTTGCAACAGATATCTGAATCACATGCTTACTATAATTTTAATCTCTATACTGCACAGTATGAAGTATTCCGTGAAAAATTGCACTTTAATTAATTTGAGCAAAGCTTTTGTTTATTTTTGATAAATTTTTCGTGTATTCTAAATGATTGTTGCTAAAAAAATTACAATATAACGCTAAATTAATGCTATTTACGGCTCAGACTTTTCAGACTAATACGTTTTGCTTACGTGTTCATTCGTTGCGGTGTTTTTTCCCAATTTTTTTTCCATCCACGTTGCTCTCTTCTGCAATACTCATTAAAAATGCAAAAAATTTAATTCAAAAAAAAAGCAAAATTCTCTGTTCTTAAAGTTTGAAAATCAGTAAAATGAAAAAAATTTAATTCAAAATAGATACGTTTCAGAAATCAGAATTTCGCCAAGATTGAACGAGCATCCATTAAATAAATCGTAGTAGCTTGTTGATTCTTCATCGTCTTGAGGCATTAAACTCTACAATATGCGAAATATAAAATAAGAACTTCCTGAAATCAGATTTTAAAAGAATAATTCTTAGTAATCTCTAGTAATTAATATCTTAATATTACTTAACAACTTAATAACTTATTGATAGTTAGACAAAACAAATATCTTTTTTTTGTTTGGAAAAATTCAAAATACTATCCTACAAAAGTAATATTCCTTTTATCAAACATTTAAACATTACTTAGAATAATAAATTTATAATATCAAAGCAATGTAAATATAAAAAAACTTATTTATAAAAACAATTGGTTTTATAAATTTTTTATATAAATAGTATATTTTACTACAAGCTTACCTTTTGATGCCATGCTATTTTTTCGTCCTTGTCGTAGTAAAATGAACTCGTTATATCAGAAGGTGTTGCAGATAGATCAACGGGGCTTACTGTAATATTTGATTACTTATATCATGTTAAAAATTTTATAATGTATGCGAAATTTCAAAAATTATACTTATAGATTCAGAGTAAAGGAAATTATCAATATTCCAGGACAAATACAATAATGAACAAACTGAAAAATCCATTTGCATCAATGTGATAATAACTGTCGTGACTCCAACGTGAAATATCATCATAACTAGGTGAATGATATTGCTAAAATTTTCATTTAATTTTTATTCACTTTTTGAAAGTAAAATTTCTATAAATCTGTGTGCATCAAATAAATGATTAGATTAACCTTCTTACTTTAATCGGAACTTATCTACCTGTAAGATTTGAATAAAAGCTTAAGATAAACCTTCTGAATCACATAAAATTTTTTAATTTTAATTCAATAAAAGAATCAGAAACCGATGTGCTGACTGAATTCTGTAGTTCCTTGTACGAACAAGAAACATTTGATGGATTCCTTGATAGTTCTACTGATTCAAACATTGGAAAACTTGACATTGAATCAAGGCTACACAAATTTACATTGCTAAATGTCGTCTGAAAAGATACTAATTGTAAACCGACTTTACTTTTGTTTTTATCATTTGACTAAAATAGTAAACTATTTTAATTTTGTAACTATTTTCACTTTTTTTCTGTAATATATATTCAATAATCTTGGTAATATCAGTGATACTGTAAAAAACTAACTGTGCTACAAACTTGTCTTTCTGGTTGTATTTTTTGTGATATATCACATTTGCTCTAAATATTGCACTAAATATTGTAAACATTTGACTTGTATATTAATAAAAATGTCTTATTACATAGTCTTATGCTATATTTCATTTATGAAAAGGATAAAGGTATATCTTACAGTACTCACATAGTTTTTATTTGACATTGAATCACTGTCGTTACGTTTCACTACCGTTGCTTCTGCGTAAGAAATTTGACTACTTACTTTTCTTGAAGTAAATACAATTGGTTTAGTCGGCGAGTTCTTTTGGTCAGTGACTATTAATTTTTTATAATTTTGCCCCGCTGTAATTTTTAAAAGATTATTACATCAAAACAATCAAATTAATTTTTCAAGTTTAATTTTGAATTTTTCATTTTTTCAAAATTTATGTAATTTGAAATATTTTGTTCTAAACAATTTGAATAAAAAATAACTGTCTTCGGCAATTTTTTTTCAAAATGTTTTGATCAATCCAAAAAAATTATAATTCTTTTTTCTAACTTAACTTACTTTAAATTATACTTTCTGAATTAAAAAAATTTAAAGCCCAATTTTTTAAGTAATTTTAAAAGTCTGTTTGAAAACTGATCAAAAGATCAGTCAATTCACCATTGTATTCATTATTTGTTGTTGAACTGTATTTGTTTCCATTTAGCGTATTTGTGAATGCTTGACGCTGAAATTATAAAATATTTATGGTGTAAAATATAAAAAATAAAAAAAAAACAAAAAATGACAAATTTTTTTTGCAGAATTTTTATAATTTTTGTCTTTTTTAACATTAATTCTCATAAAAACTGCTTATATATAGTTATTTTGTATATAATTTTTTTACAATCGTTCAATAATATTATTGAACGATTGTAAAAAAAACCGTAAACATCCAATAACAAAAACTTCAATTTACAACGAACCTGATGGATATTACCAGTTCTTGCTGTCGACGATGTTATCGAACAATGATTTGCATTTGATGACACAAAACTAAGCAATGAAATTTGCTACTTATAATTAAAACTTATTATTTTAATTATTAATTTACCTATCTACAACATACTTACTATCATAAGTAACGCTGACCTACGTGACATATATTATTAACAAAATGATAAGTAACATCAATATCTCATAAATTATTAAAATTGCGATAAGTATTGATAATTAATATCGTTATTTAAAAAGAATTAACAATCTACAAACTTTAATTTATATTTTGTTTTATGCTAAAATGAAACGCAAATTAAATGACATCAAAAATACATTACTTACTTTTCGCGTCTCACACTTTGCTGATCCACGTGAATGTTTTCCGTCAAACTCCTTTTCTTGCTTCCATCGTTCAAACATGAAAATATTTTCTTATTTTTCTATCATCTTTCTTAGTAGATTGCAATATATCTTGATCAACAATAAGTATCATATTCACGTTTACAAGATTTTGTTTTTTAATTTTTCTAACACTTATTGTTTCAATTTTATTGTCATGACAAGCACTGTATATACTGTAAGTACTGTATAAGTACTGTATATAAAACAGCTTTTTTACTTACAATTAGTATATTTGGCATAAATTTATCAAAAATGCATAAAATTTTTTACAATTTAAAAATTTTCATACCAAACCATATTAACAAATAATGTGTATTAAAAGTATTAAGAAACATAATTTATAAATAATTTAAATTCATTGTTTTGGACAAAAAGTGTATGTATATAACTAACCGATAAAACTTACAATATTTGGAACAAATTAAAGAATAAGCTCTCTTTTAATAAATGAGCATTACCAAACAGATTTGGTAAAAGAGAGTGATACTTTGCACAAATTGATCAATCATAAATGATAAAATAAAATAATTGGAAATTAAATATAAAAATTAATTATAATAATTATTATACAAGAATTAGTTTGTAAAATTTCAAAATTGTAATAATTAAAATGTCAAGTAAAAAAAAATTTCATAGTAACCTGAACACAAATCTGTTTGATCAGGTCGCAAAGCTCCTAAACCACAACGACAACGACATTTATGTTGAATAAATGGAAATCTTTTGGAATCCCACAAATTTATCTGCCTTTGATCATCACTGCCTTCACCAGTTGACCCTTAAATATCATACTTTTAGGATAGATCAAACTAACAACTGTCAATATGTAATCACAAATCATACTTAAATTATGATTTAGTGTCTTAAGAAGATTATTTTCTAAGGCTTGAAAACAATCCACGTGCATAAGTTGCTTTGGATATGGGCAACACTCATTACTGCACATCATTATAATGCTTTGCTCAAAAGAAGCTGGCAGAGGTAATCCTGAAAATTTTTTCAAGTTTATCAATTCAAATATTTTAATATCAAGTAGTATGCTTACCAATTAGGAAACTTTAATGTAAAATAACTAAAAGAAATCATTTGCTAAACAGAAATTCTTTTTTGTATCAAAAAATTAAATAAAATCTTTTTCCCTTTTTAAATAATCAAGTAATCAGCCTATCAGTTTATCATTTTTATCAAAACAAAAAATTTTAAACAATTTTTAAACTAACCAGATGGTAAAGGTATAGGACAACCTGGTTTACGCTTTTTATCTTTGCTAACATTGACTTTTCTTGATGAATTCATTACGGAAGCTGAAAAAATACAAAATTTTTGTGAGTAATAGTGTAAATTTTGCTTACAATTTTAAATACACATCCCGTTGCAAAAAAGAAGATAAAATAAAATAAAATATTTATTAAAATTAAAAAAAACTGAATAAAATCAAAGCCTAATAATATTCAGAAGATAAATAGTTTGCTAATAATATTATATGATACAAAATACACACACTACAAAATTATTAATACTGTAATAAGTTATAAATACTTATTAAAATTATGCTTTGAATCTGACGTGATGACTCTAATAAACATTGACATTAATCAAGCAGAGTAAATCGGGAAATTATAAGCAAAAATTATAAATAGTAATGATTACGCATATTTGATCTCAATCATTTGATTAGCTAACAAATTCTGTTCTTCTTTTGCTTGATTTTGATTTTCATAAATGATAACCCTTAACTTATTACTTATTAATCTTGATTATAAAAACGAAATCTATCACTTAAAGATTCTGCTTATTGTCAAAACTAGCTTTTTTGAAATTTATTTTCTTCATTAATATTAATGTTTATTAGAGAATCGAAGTAATTAGAGTAATCAGTAATTATTAATCTGATTAGTGATAAGGAATGGACAAACTTTTGATCAATTGTCTTTAAAAACTACAAAATAATTTTTAAAAAGCGCAGTAAGATTTTAATTATAATGCAATTAAATTCAGCATCAGAATGTTTTAAAATAATTTACAAAGAATAGTGATTGCAAACCTCCAATAAAAATTTGAAAATAGTGACCACATTTGAAACAGTTCAAATAAACCTTATTTACCCCAAAATAACATTAAGCTGCCACGACCAATACAGAAAATAAAAAACACTACAAATAGCAATGAATATTTTATTGATGCCATTGCATCATATATTCAAAATTTTCAGTTGCATGCAAATTTTTCTGTCTTTATGTATGCAAATTTTTCTCTTTTCATTTATGCAAATTGTTTTTGTCATGAATGTTTCTGTTTATGCAAATTTTGATTTTCTTTACATGATTATGACTTGTGAATTAAGTACTCTAATCAATAGATGCTTTAATTCTAAAATCAAGAAAGTACGTACTTTGGGACGATTTAATATTTAAGAATCTCTATGTTTCCGATTGATTAATCACTTTTCTCCGTGTTTAGAAAAAAAAAGAAAACTATTATAGTATATGACATTACAAATCTGTTTAATATGTTTATTATCATGAGTCCAATACCGATATTTTAATATTTTTGGATACAGTAATCCATTTAGTAATGCTGATATCTTAATATAAGGAATACTTCAAATATATTTAATCGAATGCGGGAGAAGATACTTGTTAATATTTTTAATTCCTAATTTCTGGAAACTCGCTAATACCTCTCACAAACTTTACATTTACTGAACAATTCTTACTGTCTAAAATACTGTTATAAAAACTGTACTGTTACTGTACTGAAATACAAATATTTTATACTGTTACTGTCATATTGTTTTCTTTCTGTTCATTATCTCAAACGATCGCTCATTCTATTGAAATATATCACTATTGAGCAGTCTATTCCACGCATGCTCTAAGATTCTCTTTACTCATTTGAACAAACCAAATGCGCCAACTATCGCTTCACTATTTGAATCATTCTTGTGAAAGAACTAATTATGCTAATTTCGCAGTCACAGATACAACAACTTTAATATTCAAGTGTTAGCTGTACAAGGAAGAGAAACGATATCTACTTCATAATTTTATTGAAACATCTCAAATATCATTCAGATTCAGAACTCTCTGGAATACAAATAGCTTCTGCAAGCATACAACATATTATGTACATGGTATGGTCCGGAACAGACTTTCAAAATTCATAACATACCTCCCGATAATCATCCTTCTGCTTAAAACTACTTTATACAAAATTTTCTGATATTCACGTTTTTTTTAAATCATGAAAATCGTAGCTCATACTCTGCTCACAAATGAAAATCAGCCCTACTACTGAATGTTAAAACATCACCTAATATCACAAATACTTAAGCTTTTGCTGAAGTATGAATCTGAAAAATTCGAAAAAACAATTCGAACTCTTTATTGACAATGTATCGTCTTCTTTATTAACCGAATAATACTTTGATTTGTAGCGAAGTACAGATTTGACAAGAATCATAATATGCTTCAACATGTACTAAGAGATGCCCCGCAATTAATAAAATTACATCTTAATATGAAACGATAAAAACTCAAATCAGGATTTGCATGACTTTATTAACAATCCCTCATTTTGTAAATATGTTTTTCCGCCATTAAACCATGAATGCTTCATAATTCACATTTATTTGACCTTTTTTCAATGTCAATGTAGATACTTTGACTCACGTATTTCGTCAGTATTTTACAAATCCAAAAGTGTGATAGTTTCTGAAAAATTTCATTCAAGGCAAAAAGCAGTATTCTTGTTCGCTATGTATTTATGCATAGATGATTTCGTTCCCATTTCATAGAAAGAAATGCCCAGAAACAAATACTGGCATTTCATCAACAGTGATAACTTCACCAAATTAACAGAAACGAATAGCAGATACATTTCATATGATAACCAATTCTTTAAAAAAAGTAGGGAATATGCAGGCTTCTGCAGTTTGCGGTGTTAATTTAGAAAAAGTTTCTGATCAGACAACGAAATCAACAGAAATCACTGCAATTACAAGCAAATTAAAGAACAGAATTAGACGCCTCTTCTTTACATAGAAGCAAGATTATAAATATCTAAAAGTACAAGATTAAACAAGATTAAAGATCAAAAATTATTACTTCATACCATATACCCTCGACTTCAGATGATTTAATATCATTTCAAACACCTCACAAGATATGTATTGTTGCCCAGAATAATTTACAGAAAATTAGTACAAACATCAGCGTTAATTCTTCCACCGGTTTGTCTAAAATTAAAAAATTTTCGGAAAAAATTCAACTGTCTTTTGCGCGAACAAAGTTTTAAGAAACTATTTTTATATACACAGTACATAAATCTGCACTTACTGCATTATTCAACGCACTAATCGCTTTATAGGCTTCTGCAGTTTGCGGTGTTAATTTAGAAAGAAATGCACTGAGTGCTGAACGATCCTTCTGAGCTACTAAACACTCAATTACAATGTCAGCTGCTTGTGGAAATTGAATTGCAAGATGGTGACGTTCATTTACATCCGGAACAGCGCGTAGCAGCTTGCATAAAACCGAAAAACAAATAAACAAAAATCACCCTGAGAACATAACTTCAAATAATAATCGAAAACAATAGTTAAAAAACTGAATTGAGGGAAATCATGCGCAAAACTGTCTGTACTTCTTTTGGAGCTTGATTACCGCTCGCCGAAATTATGGCAAATAAATGGCGCCATGCAAAAGGACAAACTGTTTTTACACCACCTAATAATTTCTTGCTCATTAATACTCCGTCTACGTCATTCCATCTAAAACATAACTTAATTAATTCTTTTATCGTTTTAGTGTTAACTTGACCAAATACGTTCTATTCGAATAAGTTTGCAAAAAGTAATGTTACTGACCTATTCTTTCACATGTGAAACAAAAAAATTTCTTGATCTATGGCCATTCCCACCCGAAAATCGTCAATAACAATTAAAAAGCACGAAAATCAATCAAATTATTAAATAATCGTATGAATCTACTGAAAAAGTAAAAATAAATCGTAAAAATAAATAAGGAAATAAAGCACTCATCAAATCTATACCGCTTCAAACGTGATAACGCTGATATAGCCATCCATGCATATTGTTTTTCGGTCATTCGGAAAAACTGCTTTATAGACAGTGGACTAGAATAAGCATTCTGCAAATGAAATTTTATTGAAATTATTATGCAATTTAGTTAAATTATTCCCAAAATGATGAAATGAAATTTAAGAGCCTCAAAATCATACATACATATATTTCAACACTTCCTTTTTAATTAAAGCTAATACTTTACTTAAACTTGAAAAAAAATTGAAAATGAGCTTTTTTCTATTACCACTGGAAGATCAAAATGATATAAACATGAATAATATAGTGTTGTTAAGACTGGTCGACCAATTAAAGTTACTGATTTAGGATACTGATGGAAAATAACGTTGTTCCCTTTTTTGATACTAACTTCATCAGCGTCCTGCAACGGCCACAATAACTGCAGTATATTCAGTAAAAAATGTGTAGTTATTTCGAACAAATGTCTGCATGAAATTGCAATGCTTTAAAATAAGACAATGTACTTCAATCACAATCTGCCGTTCTAGGAGATCGATATATTCGTTCACTGATTTGCAGAACATTTCCAGTGATGGGTCTTTTGCACCTAAATGCAAACATTTCTTCAAATATGAAATCCGTTCAGAGGGTTGTTTCATATATGAAACACGGTACATTACAAGTAAAGCTTCTTCCATGCGATTCAAAGCACTGAAATCGCATGAATTAAAAATATTTCGTGACTTAATTTTAGACCTCAAAGTTTTGATCACTTTTTTTATATATTTAGTTGCAAGAAGTTGATTTTTGTTTAGCAATATTGTAGACAAATAACAAGGGGCATGAAAAGATATGCTGGTTGAAACGGTCCAATTTTTAAATATTTTTAATGACTACCCCCTTCAAAACTAGTGAAACTGCTGTAGACCGTGAAAAAAAAATTGCATTTCATAAGCTTGTCAAATATCTGATTACTCATAAACAAAATACTAAAATATTATAAATTATTTTTTCAGTACTTAAATCTTCTGGAAATAGAAAGAACTTACAGAAGAGTTGTAATCAGTTGATCAAAGCTTTTCATTTGTTTTAAATATGCTACATAATGATGAGCAGCACTTGGCTTTTGATTCAAAATATTCATAAAAAGTGAAGTTTCGAGAGACCTTTCCAAAGCCAGTAGTACCTGAAGTGAGATTAATATTCTGATATAGAATAAGAGAATGCCACAAGAAAAAGCTATATATGAAAAAATAAGCAATTTGACTCACATAAAGATACTACAAGGAACTCCCTGTTTTCATGCACAAGATTTACCAGCGAGGCAATGTAGTCTGAATTATATCTTACTGTTATCTTTAAAATTAAATTTCAAATCATCGCAAAGACAATTTTCATTCTTATCATAAGGGTTCATAAAACTTTGATACGCACCACCAAAGTATATATAAAATATTTAAAGAATAGAAATCATGCTATACGGGCAATAACATAAATTAAAACACAGAACAGGAAGACTTACAACAGAATTTTCAAACATTGAGTAACAAATGGTTCAGATATTTGCAAAAAATGCTTACTGCAAGAATGACATTCCCGTCATAAGAGTCTAAGGCAGCTTCCAACAGATCTAACTTTTCATTCATACTTCGATACAAGTCTAATGAAACTGGATCATTTTGAAGTAATCGGCGAACAGTCACTTCAGGATCAGAGGGACGATATCGCTCCAACCTTACTTGCTAAATTTCTAGTTTTTAGAGTACTTTTGGTAATTTAAGAAGAGATAGAAATACAAGTGGCCCAGGGTCGTTGGGACAAATGTGCCAGTAATGGCTACAAACTTTTTCTATTAAATAATAAACTAGAAAATTTCTCGAGTAATAATGATTGTAACAATCATGATTAATAATTAATATTTAATTAATTAACATCATCATAATCACTACTATGAATAATTCTCAAGCATCAATAAAAAATTATAGCACTAACTTTACAAAAACTCAACGAAATCACTTATTCTTGTAAAAAAATATTTTTTTTTAACAGAAAAACAGAGATAAATAAGATGTGAACTTCAGAAAAAAGGAAATGAGAGACCTCTAAATGTTTTTGTAATTTCCGATGCTCCGCCTTCAATCTTGAATAATCAAGTTGCGCGGTGGCATAACTTGAAACTGATTCTGCGCTGCCTTCCGAAATTACGGGAGACTTTGGACAAAGTTTTTTTCGTGTTGACTGTAAATAATTCTAAATTACACAAGAACATTCAAGAACGTACTTCAATTGCCAGGCAAATGCTTCTAATTTATAATGCAAAGTATGTAAGAAACAAAATAATATTTAACTTACTAAGTTGTTTCACAAGTAGCGCTATAATTTTGATTACTAATGAATGAAACATACAATTGGTAAATTTACTTCGTTTAAATGGAGGATTGGATGGTTAGTTCCAGCAACCTCCACAAACGATTTTTTGGTTGTAACACCTCCATCCCTAAAACCATAAAAAATTAAATTTTTTTTTTAATTACAGGTTTTCAATGATAAGTTAACGAATAAAAAATTTCAGATATGGAAATTTTAACTCAAAGATGGAGAGACAAAGATTTTAATAAATGGAATGTGAGTAATGGAGAAAAATTGATTTCATGGCCTTCAGCGAAACTCAAGCCACTCACAATGAAATAAGATAATCTGCAATTTCGAAAAGTACAAAATACATTAATAATGCTTCAAACTTTCTTGACTGAATTCTCCACAGTCGCTATTCGTGGTTCATTTTCTGTGTTCCAAAATCCATCTTCAATACCAAAACGAGCTTGACTTTCAAAAAGATTCTCCAGAGCTGCTCGAGCAGCAATCTATTTGAAATATAATTTAATAATTTTGCTCATGTAATAAATTTAGAAGACCTAGAAAGTGATCACAAGCAGTGGTTCCAACTAAAGACTAACAAAGCAAATGTCAGTTATGATCAGTTATCAATTAAACCCTTGAAAAATCATACATGTTAAAAAATAATTTGTTCAGCTTTACCCCCAACTATTAAATGATTTTAGCTTTTCTTAAAAGGACTACATCAATAAGATCAATACACTGTAAATATTTTGATCAGTACCACGTTACTAGTTGAAGGATTTTCAGCAGAAATAGGAATTGTGAGAGGACCATTCTCGTTCCAATAGCTGTCTTCCGGATCATCAAAGGTAAATTTCCGATGCGCTGCCATGGAATCTTTCTTTTGCGATATTTGATTTACAAAAAAGCGTTTTGACTGAAATAAATATTAAGTTTCGTCACATTCGAAAATTGTAATCAGCAAAAGACCAGACTAGATACTAATAATTAACATTTTTTCTCAGCAAACACCCAAATATTACAACAATAATTATAATTTCATCTTAATTCACACTTGCTTCTTATAACATTACCTCAAATTATCATCAAATATTGATACTAAATTACGAAGGAATTGTACTTAAGATTTAAGTTTACTCTTGCAAAAGTAAGAATATGTGATAAAAGCATAGAAACCCTCTTATCCGCTTTAATGCAACAAATTAATTTAATTTAATAAATTGCTATAAAGTTGAACTGCAGTGTCTAAGCAATGTTGCGCACTGTTCAAATAGAGAGCATACGAATTGCAGAGACATTGAGAAGTTGATAATTAAGTGAAAATAGGATGCAAAAGTATTCAAAAGATTGTGAACAGAGATAGAGAGGGTTCAGTTGAAATTGTAATAAGTTTTGCATGTAGCGGTCAGGAATTAAGATTTCGTCCATGTACATAAGATTCTTTAAAATATTAACGGAGATTAGTGCAGTATCCTTTAATCATATATCAATCATATACTAAAGTGAGACTGAAATTTGAAATAAAACTTATTTTTGAGAAGGGAATTTCCTTCTGTTACTATTAGATGTAGAAAGTAATTCGTATATAACTGAGAAAGTAAAGCAATCATCCAGAGTAGTCTTCTGAAAGCTAATTTTCTAACTTTGTATTTAATACGATAATTAGTTGAATTTTTTGAATACATCATACTTCTGAATTGAATAAAATTCTATAATACATGTACAGTACTTTTGAATTGAATAAAATTCTGAAGTACCTATATAGTACTTCTGGACTGAATAAAATTCTGAAATACATAATACTTCTAAATTGAATGAAATTCTGGAATTTATGCTTTTTATTGTCTACCTATGTGCTAGCTCAAGTTATGAATAGTTTGGTTAATCCTCACTACATCACAGTTTTGCATCTAAACCTTTGCAATTATCTTTAATATAAAAAATTGAAATCAAAACACCACATATTAAACTAGATTAGTCCATATAATATTACATATCCGTTTTATCCAAGAAGTAATCTTTGCATATTTAAAGTCTGAAACAAATATGACTTACAGAAGACGATTTGTTGTAAATATTATTTAATGTTAATATTTTATCAGGTTTAATACGGTTGATTGAAAGGTACAACTTCTGTGAACTTTTCTTCATATTTATTGCTCAAATTTGGAAAGTAATTGAAATTTAAGTGCAGTAATACACTTTTAAATAACAATAATAAGTCTGTTGGCTATAAGTTACCATTAATAAGTATTTTTCGTGAATAAATAAAAAAAGCATTGTTAAATGATTTTTTTGCACTTTAAGACAAATTTCATATTCGTTCATATACAGTAGTCTAGCAAAAATAGAAACGAATCTTTTTTTGTATAAAATTCTGAACCTTCGCTAGTTTTCATTCATGATGGAAAATGAAGAATATTATAGAATGGATGGGCCAGCATCAGAAGGTGGAAGTATTATTAATGAACCGAATTATTTTTGCTACAAAGCATATGTTAAGGCATGATATTATTTCTATGAAACACGAAAAATAAATCAAACTTAAGCAATTAATAAATTTTTACACGTATTATAAATAGTTCACGTAAAAAGAGTAAGACACTGCGTGATTACCGTATGAGTGAAATATAATCAAAAATATGATTATTGTCTATTCAAGCTGGTAAAAATTGATGATAAATAGACTAGTCTGAAGTTTATAGGCTGCAGGCTATACAATGTTTGTATTATATTTAGTGGTAGGAGCGAAACGAATGAATGATCGTATAACTGAATTCATAATCCTCGAACGATGCCCAACATGTCGATATTATGGTGGCAATACTCTTGAATTAGTTATACTTTTTTACTTTCCAAAGTTATCAAGTAAAATTTTTTACAGTTCAGCAGCACTGAATAATGTCTATTTTATTTACAGTAATAATTAATCATTAATTTAATATTTATTACACAAAATACTAAAATTAAAAAGCAATCAAAGTATTATTGCCATCAAAAGCTGTAACAAAAATAAATACAAATAGTTATTTTTACTTTAATTTAATAAAAATAATTTTCTAAAAATACAATAGAATAAGAGAAAAACGGCCCATGTAAAACTAAATTATAATTAGCTCCAATTTTCAGCTGTTTTGGGCACTTCTTGAAATATTTACATATGCATTAGCACCGTTATCAGCACTTATCGCTTTAGTTCATGTCGACTTAGAATGGTTATTTCCATATTTAGCAATACGTCTAATGCTTCCAGGATTCTTATTTGTTGGACCTATTTTTTTCACTATAGTAAGCTTTTGATTTAAATTTACTAAGTATAAATCAACGTTTCGGTCTTATAACTGAGAGAAAAGCTAGTAGATTAAAAAGTTACTCATTTATTGCCAAGTGTCAAAGTAAGATAGATTTGTCTCCTCTGCTCTTCTTTCCTCCAGTAATTGTTATTTACAATGCCTTTGCTTTCCATATTTATACTTTATTTCATCGCACGCAATCTAGATCTTAGTAATTTAATAAGTTTTCATGGATCATTCATGAATTGATCACAGCTCATTTGATCCCACACTTCCATGAATTTAATGTCCTTTGACCTGAATTTTATCATCCTAAAGTAGTCTACTCTCTTCTATGCACAATATTTAGAAAGATCGAGTTAAGTTCATGGTTCGCTTCCAAAATGTTTCAAAAAAGCAGTAATAAAGATTTCAGAATACTTCTACCTCTACTATGTATAGTATCACCTCATCTGTGAAACAGTCAACTTTAAATTCATTTAAGTTCTCATATACTGTTTATTGGATTATTGATCTCGCCATTGATGTTCAACAAGTCTCGGAAGATCTACTAAATATGGATGTGTGGAAGCGATGCCTTTGGGCCAGCACTCTATTAATTGCTAATATTTACGCCCTGTTGCTAACATCTGTTGTTTTACAACTTATTTATTATCAACATTATATCATTATCGAGGAAAATGTGTGTTTGTTGCGACATTAATTTAAAGCTCACTTTTTTAATAAATCAACATAAAATGATTACTTCTGATTCAGAAGTAAAACAGAAATCAATGGGTTGTTTTTGATTACTTAGCGAATCTAATTCCTTGTTTGATCTATTCCTGATACAATTGCAGGTATATGAATTTTAGAAATCAATTAATGATATAACGTAATCAAAATTGCATTATGTTAGCATTTTATACCCTTATCGTAAACTTTTCTTCAAAAATTATCAAAACAAAAGTCTAACAAATCCACCTTCCTTAAAGTAAACAATGCCTATTTGTATACTTTTCCAGCAACGAGACGTACCAAATTTGAGGGTTCGATTCCATGATCACAACCAACATAACCATCCGCCTATCAATGGTATTGTGTTCGAAAACGTTCCTGGGATTCCAGCGGAAGTCAATGATCAAAACAATGTCCAGATTGTTTGATCTTTCCACGTTACATACGTATACTTCCTTGCATCATTTAGCAGTATACCACTACCCTTTGACCTGACTGACATCAGAAAACTATTTCAGTACTGACTACAAGCTACTACAAATCTAACATATGAAATTCTCCAAGCAACGTGACTGAGAATGAATCATTACTTTACCTTACATCATTTACGATCTTGTCTTGAACAAGAACTGACACTGATTTAATATTGAACAAAGTTTACATACCAGATACCACTGAAAGATACTTTGATAATAAAATGAAGACTAGATCTGATAAGTTTAGCAAGTAAGAATATTAAAAATTAGACATTAACATAGCCATCCGCCTATCAATGGTATTTTCTGACCATTTCATAAGAAGAGGTATAACCGACTGTACTACAACAAATGTGCTACTGGGACTTACCACTTGATTAAACTCCAAGTTGTAATAAAATCAAACATTTCAAGTTTTAGATAGGCTCAACTCAACTAACGTAGAGAAACATGTTTATTTTAACGCTTTATGCTGCAAACTTTAAGATGTAAAAAATTACGAGAACAAAAACCATTAATTACAATTTATCTTGCGAAAAGAAATTCCAGCTTAACATCTTCAAAACTTATGATATTGTATAGATAAACTCCAACAATAATAATTTCCTAATTCCTTCACAGGTGGAATGCTTCAGTGCTGAACAATATTTTCTTTCGACACCCATCCAACATTTCTCTCCAAATGTCTAGCTTCTTTCTGTTAACTTAAGCTTTTGTCAAAATATATGATAGTTCCTTAAATGTAAAATTTCATACATTGATATTTTATATAAGATGTGAGAAAAATGCTGGACAACGCTAGTGATATCGAACTACCTATCTTAGACAAGGGGAAAACCTGAGTAGAATGTTATTTATATTCACTGCATTTTACCATATCAATCAACTTGACACCTGAATACACTAGCCAAAAACAAAACCACTGCAACACGGAATTAAATTATGTTCTCAGAAAGCAGTTTTTAATGACGAAATCATCCATCTCACCCAAATGTAATACATACCCGGAAATAAAGTCTCAAAATACAGAGAATTATCCAGGAAACATACCCAGATGAAAAACATCAGAGGTTGGTACAACTTGAAATATACAGAAAATGATAGCTTGTGCTTCTGGTTGCTAATTAATCACTGCTAGTATCTTGTGATGATGCCAAAGAAGTCCCGAATTTTTGAATCCTTCGTTTTCTAATTTCATCCAATCCCGTAGTTGAAGAGGAAACAGATGGTTCTTTGTCAACATCAGTACTAGATGTCAATGTATCTTTCTGTACGCTTTCCATATCTGAACTAGCAACTGTAGCGTTGTCAGGAGCAGTAGGCTGCACTGATACTGATCTATTTGCCGAACTTTCAACAATATTTGAAGGAACTTTCGACATTCCAGATTCTCTATTATCATTGGCTGATCCACTTGCACTTACATTTGTATCTCCAGGTAGCTGTGTTGAAACACTAAATAAGAATTATGAAGTCAGTTGTTCTTCATTTTTATCATATAAGATGAGACACTTCAGAATCTAAATTTCCTACCATATACACTTATTTTTTGCAGGTGTATAGGATGAATGATCCTTGCAGCAAATTAAATTTGCTCACAATGAGAATTTAAAAGAAAAATTGACGGATATTTTTTGGCCATTTTTGCTTACCTCAATGATTGCACAACACTCATATACTGCTGAAGTTGCATCGCAGCTGCATCTAATAATAAACCAATATTACGAATACAATTGATACGAGCTTCAACAGCCGCTCGCTCTCTTCCTTCCATTGCAGCAATTTCTTCGTCCGTAAGACCAGCAAAAGTTGGAACGGGTGGAAACGGAAAAACTGCAGGTACTGCGAACAGTGATGGTAGAGTCTGCATCAAACACTGATTAATTTAAAAAAATATCACAAAGTCCTTTTGTATAAAACAGCGAGTGGTGCTTAATATGCTTAAGAAATTGCTGCCATAACAAAAACAATGGCTAAATCAAATGAAAATGAAATAAAAACAGTTATGCTCGAAAGCATTTAAGTGAGTCAGTGCAAAATATACCAACAAAACTTATCTTTACAAAGAATCAACCTAATCTAGTCTTATTGTTTTTCTGACTTTGTTTTAATATCTTCAGTGATCGTCTTAAAAATCACTAATTAAATTATTAGTAGACAATATATGATGATACGAAAGTAGTATATGAAGTTTTTCTACAAAACAGCTTTATCTCATCCTTTAGATGAAAATTTTAACACTACGACTAAAAACTTACACAAATACTGTCCTTAAATACTCACCATGAAAGGGAACGCAGAAGGTGAGGAAACTTGCGGCACAGTATTAACAGGCGGCACCTGAGATACATTACTTGCTGCAAAATTTCTTGGTTCACTTGTACTAGTACCAGGCTGCTGTTGTTGTTGTTGTTGTGGCAACAGCTGAGGAAAAGCAAAATGTGCCATGAATGGAAACATATTTGGCATTTCTGCACCATTATTCGGCATTTGAGCTGCACCAGCATTCTGCCTCGCTACCGGAGTTGCCCCAGGTGCAGCACCAGCAGGTGCTCCTGCACGCGCAGCTTCAGGAACTGGTTGAGCTGCCCCTGCAGCTGCCTGCGCCCCATGTCGATAGACTGTAGTTCAATTTGTATAAATTCTTGATAAACAAATTTAATAATGAACTGATGAGAAAATAAATATTGCACTGTGAATGATTAAATCGTGAATGCAAACCTAGAATATCAGTGCGACATGTGGGACAACTTTGTTGCCGCTGGAACCATGATCGAAGACAATTTGAATGGAAAATATGATTACAAGGTAATTTTTTCGCTCCACTAAGGGGGGTCATTTCTTCTCGACAAATTATACATATATTGTCGCCTATAATATCGTGAAAGAAATTTTTGCACAAAGAAAATGTCGGCTAATTGCAATTGATTTTACATGTTATTTTTTCAAATTTCTCAATAGAAATTTGCTAAGCACTAAAAAAAATATTATTCAAGAAGTATTATAAAAAAATACCACTGGAAAGATCTTGCTCCGAAGCTAATGGAAACAAATTATTCATAGCATGCACGGCACGTCTTGAAAGGATAACATCATTGACTGCTTTATGGAATGCCCGGACAGTAAGATAAAGCGGTCGAATTGAAAACAAGGGAAATGTGTGAAGTCGGATCATCACAGCCACGAAAATAACATATAAAACGCTTCGAAGACAATCTAGGAATTAGACTATACTTATTTTACAACGTTACCAATTACTACAAAATATATTTTCTCCTTAAGTGAATAAAACTAGATCTAACATGAACTGGCCATTGCCAACTGATATTATGCATTCTAAACATCTAATTTTTAATCAGATTTCCCTATAATGAGTAAGATAATGAGAGAATGATCAAGTACATATTGAACAATCTTTGCATCTCACCAAAATTATCTTTTCACAACTATTTGAACTTACAACTTCTGTCCTATTCACGTACAAACTTTCTGTTTTGATTTCATTCTAAAGAACAATAGGTACGAGAATTATGTGAATGTTAAAATAATAGTAAAACAGAAACATGAATCCATTTCACTTTAACTTCTTCAAGCAGAATACACAAATAAACACAATAAACATTCTTGCCTAGATCAATCAAATAAAGACATACTTATAAGAAGTTCTGAATAAAGCAAATAAACAGCTTTGTTTTCCCATGGATGCACATTTCGCAAATCATGCATGTGCAAAATATATTTGATCGTCACATGCAATACTACCGTCATTAGAACTGCGTACTACAAAAATAACATCCAAATAGTTTAAAATCGAATCTTAATTCATAAACAACAAATGCTATTAATTAAATACAAGAAATAATGAGAGATATTTCTCGGTGAGTACTGAAAAATCAATAAATATAGAAATTTCTGGACAAATTATATAGTCGATTAGATTTAGGCCATTTCAATATCAGACTTCGCCGTGTCAAATGTCAGTGTAATACCGTGGTTAAAATAAATAAAACTTCAAGTGTCTTGAAATTATTTACAGCAATAAAAACTAACTTCAAATCCGAACACGATTTGTACAGTAGGGCCTTTAACAAGCGTAGTAAAATATGCATGTGAAATGAAGTAGCTATCTACAGCGCTTAAGAAGGCAAGCAGAGCTGAAAATTATCACAGTCACTTTTCTCACTCTTCAGTTTAAGTTACTTTAAATGAATAGATCCTTTACGAATTTTTAATTGAGAGTAAGAAAATTTTGAAAGCCGAGACTTACTCTCGTAAATTTGAGCATCAAAAAAATAAAATCTTTTAAATACTAAACATTAGCTATTCATTTAAGAACGATTTTAAAAGGCAAATGATGTAATGATTCACAATAAAGCTCCGATTAATAAATAAGTGAATGTCTTCAAGCAAATTAACTGCGAAAAAGAAAAGCAAACAATCTGAAAAACATACACATCATTCTGCAGTGGAATAACGCAGTTATAATTGGACTTCGCTCCATAAAATCAACTCGATCTTCACTAATCCAGTGAAAAGATTTGACAAACAGCAAAAACACAAACTGCATTGCAAAACGAGGTGAGAAATCATCACGGAATACGGTAAATGCTAAACACGTCTCCATAATTGCATGCCATGTCCTCTCCGATAAATGCTGCAAGTATATTTGGGATGAAGAAAATATTTGTCAGCAATTCAAGAATTAATACATGAAGTACACTTTGTAAAAATATGTCATGGAACTTTAGACATTTTGAAAGAATATTTGCCATTTTTCAAATTATCAAATATGTTGTGCACGCTCAAACAAGACAGAAATCATACAAAACTTTTTAAGCTATCAAAAACTCGCTCATAATTATTTTAAAGGTCTGCTATTTTGAGTACAAATAAAATTTTAGTGCCTTCGATTTTTCACAACTTTTTCCTCAGTGTGTTTCTTCTCAGCAAAATATCTCTAAATTATGTCCAAATCTATTTCTATAATTGCTTTTTGAAGAAAAGACAAAGTACAGTTTCCTTAAAAACTACTTGATTTCAAGCGTCAACTTGCTTAAAAATCCTCACAAAATAAGCACTCATAAATGTTCTAACATTTTACCTCATTTTCAACTGCTCGCAATTGGCCAAAAAATAACCTTCTAACCAATTGGAAAATCAAATATGCAATAACTAATCCTTGTATATACATCACCTGCAATAATAAATGAAAATCTTTTATTTCTATTGAAAATTTCCATTAAAATCTTACATAATGTAAATAAATGAAAACCATGTAGGAAAAAGAATAACTTACGGCCATAGAAGGACTGCTTTTAGTAATATAAACAACTGATGGATAAAACTGCTTTTTTTGGAAAAAAGCATTACTAACAGTTAGTGCAGTAAGCACAACACTTGCCACAGTCAAAAGAAAAATTGAAATTTGGGCCATCTGATTAAATCTGAAAATTAATCAGCATCACCTTTAGAATAAAATTAGTTATCGACTTATTTACCGAATATTTTGATAAATCAGGTTTTTGTAATAATATAACAATTTGAAAACTTTCATTCTGTTCGTTTCTCAATTTTTCAACATAAGTCACGACCCAAAAAAATATGAATAATGATATAAATCAGATTGGAAAAATATTACATACATAGACGTGTAATATATAAGAATCAGAATTAAACGGTCTTTATATAAAGAAGTACTGCAAAAACAGTAATGAATTAGTATTAATTCCTGATTATTATTATTATAAGCACAACTTGTAGAATTATTTCGTCTTAAAAAATCTCATAAATCTAAACAGAAGCATTTTAATATCCACTTGCTTACTATCTAAAATTAACTTCTACTTTTATATTTAAACAAATAAAATATACTTTGAGGCAATTTTTTCTAAGCATCTACACATTTTCAAACATACCACTTGTCTACAGAACCAATCAATCAATTTATACTAATTAATTTTATACTTTTTATTATTATCGCAACTCAACCTCAGGTTTTGAAAGCAAACATTACGCGACTACGTAACTACAATCCACATTAGGGATATTGTTTGGAAATCTGTCTATGAAAAATAGAACAAAAAGATGGAAAAATTCTGCATGAGTTATTCAATGTAGGATATAAGACAACGTCAGCGTAAACAGAATAAAAGAAATTAAATAGGCACAGTCATCTAAACAGGTCAATTCAACTTCGTCATCCCAAATCGTTTTCTATAATACTAAGCGATTTCCATCTTTTAAAGCATCATATATTTTGCATATCTAATTTATTCCTACCAACAGAGCTATGAATTACAACATTTATTACTAATTTACATATTGTAAATTAGTAATAAATGTTGTGATATTTACAATATGTAAATTAGTAATAAATGTTGTGATTCATAGCTCTGGCGTGAAGTATGATGTTTTGCAACGTTATACTGAGATAAGTCACAAACTTCAAACTCCTCTTAGAAACTTGAATGCTTGAGATATCCATTCAACTTACTAAATATAACTTATCAATCTCAATTTTCGTTATTTATGTAGAAATCGACCTCTCACACCATAGTATATCTAAAATTGAGGACGTATAGCAAGGTATTCCCACTTATTTTTCGAAAATTTAGTTCTAGATTCACTCAATCAATCTCGAGATAACTACAAACTCTCTTGATAACTTAATCTGGCGCTTATTAAAATCTGAATCGAAAACTTCTCTTGTTTTCGTGAGCATATATGACATGTAATGGTCCATCAAATTTTTTAGACTAAAATAACTGCAAAATATAACATCGAAATTCATATTTTACAATTCAATCGCACAAAAAATTCAATACGTCTGAGAAGGACCACACTTAAATAACAAATATGTAAGCAAAAGCAATGCTGATACCTTGTTTCTTAAATGTTACTGTGAAAATCTGCTCACTTTTTATTGACACTTAAAATTTAAACAGGATGTCAACTGAAAATACAGATAGCAAAAATTTTAACATTACTATATTATCATAGCATATATATTCCCGCTGAAAATACCATCACCATTATCAAAAATAAATAAATTACATACTCCACACTTTAATCATCGCACTATAATATAAAGATGAGGATTACTTTTTGGTTTGTAATGAGCACCAATAAGCATTAAAGTCATCTGGTTTTAGCTTGAGCACCCCAACTTTCAACTGTTTTTTCAAAATCAGTCTCATTATACAGATTAATGACATAAATAATATTTTTACATAAATTCAAACTAATTTAAAAATGAGGCAAGAAAAATCACAACATCAAATTCACGATTCCTGACGATAATAAATCATATGTGAACCATAAATTAGGCAGGCTTAAAATTCAATGAATCTCCTTATTTAACGGTGCTATGAATATATAACTAGTCCGATGTACCTTTCAAGATAAACTTCTTTTTACGTCTTTTTTTTGACTATGAAGAATAAAAACAAATGACAAATTCGAAATCGAAGTGATTCTGTGATTCGTCAGAAGGATTTTTGGAACTCAATATTTTCAGATTTCAATCAAAAAAATGATAAAAAAAACTTACATGAGCAAAAAAATTTCGATGATAAAAGTCGAGGAACATCTTAATGTTCATTACAATGGATGTTTCATATGCATTAATTAGAAACAAATAACCAAGGTTCCGTAAAAAAGAAATCACTTATAGACATATTTGAGCATTTTTATGCCAACTATCTATTTCAAAATTACAAAAAAATTTATCGAATTTGATACAAGAACACAAATTCATTCCCGCTGTGCGAGAGGATAACAACAAAAATCAAATTTTCCAAAGAATTACCGAATTCAAAAGAAATATACATAAATGATCTGTTTCAATCTCACATTTATTTGAAAAAAACAATAAATACCATAAAGAAAAATATAAGTATACCAAAGACTTTAATTATTAACCAGCGGTTCTGTGAAACCGAATGAAGATACTTGACTAACTCCGTATGTGCAACTTCAACATTCAGTGATGTTTCTTCAACGTTTGAATCAATTCGAGTGATCATTTCTCCCTGTTCTGTGACCAAAGAAGCAAGCTAAAAGATTAAAATAATTAACAACAAAACCAAATCAGAAATTTTTTTAGCAAATAGTAATTTGTTCTATCGACGAATGCACTAATCAAATTTTCCAAGATTTTTTGCATTTTATCATAAATTTTTGCCTTAAAAATTTACTTGCCATTCATAAAGTTTTATTAAAGACAAAAGAGAGTATAGCAGCATTAATTTTAAAGATACATACTGATAAATCATAATGATAAATTACCAAGTATTACAGTTCTGTTATTTTGTACCCATCCCAATATTTAATTTATGAAAGCTTTCTCAACAAATCTGTCATTAACAATATCTGTATCTTATTTTTTTTACAGAAAGAAAAAAAGTTTACAAAAACGTTAATTTCAGATGTTGCGTAGATTCTGATTTAAAAAGTTACCTGACGAAATATCTGACCAAGTTCTGATATGCTACTCTCAATGTTTTCCATTGTACTTGATCGAGCATGTAGATATGCATCTTGCTCATTAACCAGATAAACCTATAGCTGAATGCAATTGACACTCAGATAATTTCTTATTTTTTTAAACATAATGTTTAAATGCCTCGTAGAAATTTAGCTTTCCACTTTAAACATGTATCAAAATACTTTTTTGAAATGAAGCAAATTTACTTCCGATGACAATAATATATAAATTACAATTAACCACGAATAATCTTCATAATATAAAGTAACTACTGATAAAAATTTGGTTGATCAGAAAGACAGCACTTCCAACCTTCAAAAACAACTAAAACAAGAAAATATACCTGGTCCTGCAATCTTTGCTGCTCCAAAGTATTGATATCAACTGCTACCGATGATGAAGCTTTTATTTCATCTTGTAATAGAATTGAGCCTGATATAATTCAAATTAACAACTTTTTGAATTGAAAAGTGATTTCTAAATTGAGAGTATGATTGATTTAAAATGAAAAATATGAGTTCATTTTTAGAGTAATTCGAAGAACAGAATAGATAACTGAAACCTCCAGTGTTGGCAGAATTATATCTTGAAAACATCGGCTGACTTTGACTAAATTTCTCCCGTCGTGATTTTTGCACCTTTAGATTCTAAATTAGGAATATAGAGCAAAAACGGATCTGTGATTATTATTAATATGAAATAAAAAATGTAGAAAATTGAAATATGAAGATATTACAGTCATACACACAGGATGTTTATAAAAGTGCTTGACTCAAAGCACATATTTAAAAAAGTTTATGGTTAATAAGAAATGTGTTGAGTAATCTAAACGACTGTCATGATATAGGTCACGAAAATTGAAAGGAACTATCGAAATCGAAACAAACCTCTGTCCTTAACTCCAATACATTCTGAAAATCTTTGCTAACACCTGCAAGTTTTGATTGTAACCCAACGACAATCAATTGTGAATGGCCCTGTCCTTGTTTTTTTTTATTGGAATTACTATTATTCTTTGAAAATTCTTGAAGTGTTGCAATCTGCTTGTTTAATCCTGTTATGTCCTGCAAAACGATCGAATATTCCAACTTTAAACTGAGAAGATCTATTAATATGCAATTAGTAAAGCTTACTTGCTTAATCACTTGGGATAATTGTTCTACCTCCATTCTGTGGTCATCAAATAAAGACCGTTGTTTAGCTAACTCCGTCAACTTCTCCATTTTCGCACACGTTAAGCTCAAATCCCGTCCTATACGCCTACAAAGTTATTTCAATTCTCTACTGCATTAATATAAAAATTATAAAATTTAGTATTTTTTGATGCAACTGTAAAATTTGTATCCTTTACAATTTTAAGACTTATATCCATGTACGTTTTAGAAAATCCTTTGTTACATGAAAAAATATGCGATCTATTATATTTTTGATAGGGAATACTTTGCAAGTTGCGCAAACTGCACTGACTGCTGTAATCTTGGTTCTCTTGCTACTGCGGTACAAACTCCCTGTCCTTTCATCTAAATAAGATGATAATTAGTTGAAGTAATGGAACAAGACAAAGCAGTTTCAAAATATCAATAAATACATAATTGCATTTTATTTAAGATTTACATGATCTCAATTTGAAACAGGTATTAAGTTCTACTGCGTTACAAAAAATGACAGATAAACAAATAGTATACTTTTCACCAGTCTTATTAACATGTCTATCTTCTCCTCCAATTTTTGGATGCATTTTATAAAAATCCATTAACCTGATATGATTTTGCCGTAGTACGGAATTCAACAGTACGATCACGAGAAGGCATTGCTTCAAGTCCTTTGAAAACGTTTGTTGAATTAAACTGGAAATTCTTATTCCCGTGAAATGCGAAGGAAAAAGATGGATTACTCGCAGAGTTGAGTAATTTTTGCTAAAAATTACTGGAACTAATCGCAAGCATTCATAGGAGATTTGGGTGGTATAAATTACAGAGTGAAAACAAGGCGATGATGGAGGATAAAGCATGATATAAAGCAATAGAGTTTGAAAGTAATAATACTATAATATTTAGAATATAATACTGTGGATATTACTACACAGAATTTGCAAATCTTTTCTTCTTTGGTAAATTATAAAAAGAAATGCTGACGGATTAATCCAAGGTTTTAAAATTCATCACTGGTAGCAATTTAATTTCTTACGGAAGTATTTACTTGACTAATTATTAACTTGTTTAGAAATTTTTTTAATCTTTACTTTGATGAATTTACATCACTTAATTGATTAATATGTATAAAAATGACAAATCGAAACAATGACAAAAAGAAATGAAAATTAAGATAAACTACGTCAAAAATTCGTAAAAAACGGACCACATAACATGAAATGATCCAGTAAAAATGCCTAAAGAGTTTGGATAATTTCACTGACTTGTGTAGATGACCACAGTGATGTCGAAAGGTTTGTCAGGACTGAAAATGGTTTTGTCGTAGCTTTCTTCACGTCGTCCGATGACGGTTCGTCTACGCTCGAACTTCTGTTGCTGCTAGAAGGTCCAAATCGTCGTCGTGTAACTGTCACTGGCAAGGCTGTTCCATTCACATGCATCAATAAGCTTAAAATTTTCGTTCAACTCTACTATTTCTAAAAACAGGCATTGAAAATTAAACTATGAATTATTCTTAAATTAGTCTATAGATTAAAACTTATGAACATCTTGTACATTACAGTGGTCATTAAATTGATATCTACTGCTGTAGATGTTTTGACGCAAGTCACAGCAATGAATCGTAAACAGACGAAAAAGAAACATAAAAGTGAGAACCATTATTATATAATCTTAACTTGACAAAAACACATTCCACATAAATTTACGGTAACTATAAAATGATGACAAAAAACTGGATCTGATCATTAAAAGTAAACCAATGCATATGCTAGGTAACAAAAAAGAAATTTATACGTAAATCAAGTGTAATCGTAGATTAAGGCAAGAGTAGCTAATAATAAGAAACTGAATTAAAGTTTTTCACGTGAACTGAGCGTAGTTGTGGAAAAGGTAGAAAATAAAGTTTTAATTTCATATAAGCTAAACGCAATAAATGCGTATAGTACGAAAATGACCTACATTCTCGTTTTTACAACGAATACAAAAAATGATATAAAATAAAATTGATTGCGAAAAAATTGGTTTTTTTGATGTTTTTAATGTTACGTGTGAGATACTATGAGGGGGGCAGATTCAAGTGTACTTGAACTCAATCTTCTAAATTTGTTACCATTAACGAAACCAAATGTGCAAGTCGCAAAATTTCCAACTCGTCACTCAACTTATTCTCTATCGGCTGACGTGGTAATACAAGCAAATTGATGGCTGCGGCCGCATTTCTCCCTTACAAACAGAAGTATGACTTTTAACAAGAATACGTGTCTGAAGTGTAGCAGAATAAACAGTTTAGTGGATAAGTGTAAACGTAAAATCTGATTCTTTTTTCAAAAACTTTGCTATTAGTTTATTAGAACCCTATTTTTTTCTTTCAGAATTGAAATAATCATTTTTTAGATATGCATAAATTTGCTAATGTTTTTTTCGTACTGTCACTTGTTGAATTGTTAGCAGCGCATCAAGCGCCCTCATTTCCGGGCCACAATGCACAGAAACCTCCTGATGTAAGTTTTTTTGATCATTTCTGATTTGTAGACTATAAAGGATTTTTAATTCTTAAGCTTTCACTTATTGTGTACTTGTATAGGTTCATCACCAAAGACAGATGAATCAACAGCCGGCACCCGCTCAACCCAATACACCTCCTCAAGGTGCTCGAGAATTTGGTGGCGAACAAGTGAAAAATGTCGAGTAAATTATTTCATTAAAACTTGAAGAACAGTTCATTCGGACTAAATTAAGAGTTATTTTTATAATACCTCTTATTCTAGTTTAATTTTTAACAGGGTTTTTTTTCATTTTTATGGTATTTGTATCGTGATATTATTTCGGTTATTTAAAACTTTTCTACTTCTATAGTTTTAAAGAAATCCCAAAAGTTTATTTATTTTGCAATGGATCTGTATTCAATTATTCAGACATATCAAGGAACATTTGGATGGAAAAGTTGATCCGACTGCAAATATGACCCCTGAGCAGTTACAGTTTCACTACTTTAATATGCACGATGTGGATAGGAATGGTTTATTGGATGGCATTGAATTAATAAAAGCAATCTTCCATTTTCACGATGGTATGCTTATCCAAATTCTTATCTACTTATTTGCTCTCGAAAACAGTCTCAGTTGTAGATAACCCAGAAATTAAATAGTGAGTTCCTACAGTTCTACGATTTTTATGGTGTGAAAACTGTTTGTGGTCATTTTTACAGTGCGTGTGGTCGATTAAGCTAATATAACCCAAAATAGCAGTACTATAAATTATTTTACCGCTAGAATACTTTATGGTATATGGAGATAGTAAAATTCAGAAAACGCTGAGTCTCGACAACAAAGCACTGGACAAATGCCACCAGTGCTGTCAGAAAACGAAATTGAGCGAATGCTAGATCCAATTTTTGCTTCTGATGATCTTAATCGAGATGGGTACATTAGTTATGCAGAATTTTCAAAAGCACAAAAACAACGAGAGGAACAAGTTCGACGTCAACAACAAGCACCACCTCCACAGCAATAAAAAAGTGCTTTTCTCCCATTAGTTTTGTTCATACTACGTAGCCTAGCTTATATTTTCTTAATTTAGACGATTCGTGTTTTGTTGAATGATATGAATGATTAGGTCATTTTTGCATAGCAAATATACTACGGGCTGTTTACTCGTAGTCAGTAGTTATATGAATTTCTGACATATTTGATTTATAAATTCCGTAAGCTTTCTGTAAAAATTGTGGGAGAAGAGCAGAAACATCAAGTTACTGCTATTGATTTTTTCCCGTTGTTATTGGGTTACAGTTCATTATGTAAATTAGAGGTTCATCTCGTTTTATTCCTTAAATTTTCAAAAGACTTGCGAATGTTCCTTATAAGTTCGTTTTTCATAATCTATTTTGTCTGTTTATTCGTTCTCAATTTTTATCCAAACGTCTTATTTTTAGAAAACTCTTCTGCAGTTAAAAAATGGTATAGCTTTACGGGATGCAGTGTTCAAGTAAACTCCCTTCCCTAAGGATTTTTTTCTGAATTTATTAATATTTGTAAGAAAAGAGATTTTGCTCAATACAGCTGTCAAATCAATGAATATTTTGCTTCGACGAACAGTTCTTATATAATGAAAGTGATAAATGCCTTGATATTGATTTGAGTAAATGTACTGTGATAGGTCTTATTTTTTTATTACTCCAGTGTTCATTTTGAAAAATTGATAATTTGCTGATTATGGGAAATCTTTGAAAAATAATTTAGAAATAAATTGTTCTTCAAACTGATAAGCAAAGAATTTAAAAATATTAGAAATACACCAATCAAGATAATACTAAAAAAGAGATCACCATTGGGAAGCATGTATGTGGATACATGCTTCCCAATGGTGATCTCTTTTTTAGTATTATCTTATTTACTAAAATTCCATCTGCTTATCATCGGTTACTTACGGTGTCAATTCAACAATTAAATTTCAGTTTGAGTATTTTAAGATTCGAGTATTTTAAGATACTTTGTTTTAATAATTGCAGTAATAATTTGTAAACATACTTGTTTCCGGAAGTATATTTCTTATTTCTCGGGAAAAAAACGAGTAAATGCTGGATTGAAGCTTGATTATTAAGAGAACACTGGCTTATATGTAACAGTCTTGAGTGGTCGTTTATTTCAATTTTTTTGCATTTTTTTGTTGTATGGAACATGCTAACATCTGGACGAACAACCTTAGTTTACGCATACAAGATTCTTGTTAGTAAATAACTAAATATATATTGTTCATTTAAAGTGGCTATATAGAAACCACATTTTAGCAGGTTTTAAAACTGTGCTAGCAAAGACTGATTAGAAGTTACTAGATCTATTTTTTACTGAAAAATGAAAATAACAATCTTAAACATATCAAATTACTTAATGAAAAGTACTGCATGAGTAAACAAGTACTATACTGAAATGGTTGCACAACATATCACCGCTTAGCTACGATATCTGATCTCTTACGGTTATGAACATATTGAAAGTGGTCACTTTGGTTTCATTAGTATTGTGGTTACCTTTGGTTTCATTAGTATTGTCTTAAAGGTTCTGAAAATTTGCGCTAATGCTTCTGTCCTGTATGATATGAAAGTATAAAAGTATAAATTGTAGAATAAGCGTAACATCACTATAAATACTGTAGTAAATCATGCCATGCAACATGAATCATGAAGCACACTGAAAACGGCATAATGAATAATATTTGATGTTATAGAGATTAAGCAAATGCAAATGAATTTCTATGAAAATTATTTTTGAGATTTTATAGTAAAATTTAAAAATAACTAAAAATATAAATATAAATAATATGAAAATGTATCACCATACATAGTGTAGAATAATTTTGTTACACAATGTATGCAGTAAGTTTTCCATTGCAATTTTATTAAGAATTATGCAAATAAAGACATACAGTAATACATATTTTCAATTTTTCAAGCAATAACAGAATGGCTGCGAGACTATTCTCGCAGCCATTCTGTTATTGCTTGAAGTAAGTGATTAAGTGTGTTGCAATGAATTGAATATTTGCAGGACATTTGTGTAAGTTGTGGACCTGAAGAGCAATGACTGATTAGTGAGAGAATACGATCTCACCTCAAACTTCATCTTTAGAAATCCTTGCTTATGATAGTGAATGCTTCATGCATAACAAAAAAGCAATAAAACGAACACAAAGGAAAATACTAAAGAAATTGAAATAAAAGACATGAAATAGTGGGTTTTCCATGAGGATAACGCTGAGAATTAAGTTTAATAGTTATAAAGTATAAATGATCACAGAATATGAAATGATAAGATAGTTCATGAGGATAACGTTGAGAATTAAGTTTAATAGTTATAAAGTATAAATATGAAATGATAAGATAACAGAAAATGATAAGATAGATAGAGCAGGTTCTGAGGATAGAGTGGTTAAACAAAGAGCATTTGAAGTTTTCGCTAATTGACTAATATGCATTTAATTCAGGCTTGGAATTGAATTGCTAAAGTCTCAAGTAAACTTTTTTTATGTTTCGATGCTAGAGTACCTTGATAAGATTTCTCAAAATATAGTTTATGCTGGAAAATTTGCTGAGTTCTGCAGTTACATCAAGTATTCAAATTTCCCAATTTGCTTCATTATTTCTTTACTTCAAGTTGGTGATAAAATTATCTAGGATTGAACCATTTTTTAACAGCATTTGTTTGTTGACTACAATCAATCTTATCTGATAAGAATTATTTAACTTAAGACTTTGGTCTTATTAAGTTATTAAAAAATTATAGTGTTAAAATATTTTATTTTTATGGGCATTTCTTGCTAATGCAACTTTTTATTAGTTGTGTGTTTTGTTTTTTAAAAATGATAAGACATCGTTGATTATTAATTGTCAGTTCGTCCACTGTACTTCCCCTCAAATCCTTTCATTAATCCACATTCGGTTTCTAAACCTTTAATTTGGTTTTTCAACTTTAAATCCTATGTCATGTCGTTGTCTTTGATTAACCAAATAGAAATTAAGAAAATGCAAATGCCTCATAAAAATTATTTTTTGGATTCTTCAATAAAATTCAAAAATGATTATTTTCAGAATTTACGAGATTTGTCATGGAAAATGCAGATGACAATTCTGAGACATTTTCCAAGAAAGAAAAAACTGACAAAGAACTAGAAGTGAGTGGATTTTTTTCATTCTGTGTACTGATCTAGAGCATTATGCTCAGTTGCTCAGGAAGTTTATCATTGGCTGCATTTTCTGGAAGGTAGCAGTCGAGTTGATTTCTTGTTGACACAATAATGATGTTAAAATGTGTGGCATACAAGCAAGACAGTAATCAGTTCGCTTTTTAATATCTAAATATATTCAGTTTTATTTTGTAGAGAACTAATGTTGAACTAAAAACATGGTTTTAGATTTATAGAGTCTTCATATTGTAAAAATGTATTTTTGTTGGCGCTTGATAAATAATATAAAACCTTCAAAATTTTCTCAGTTTCTTGATTTGGCCTATACCAAATCATGCCTTATTTTTTATGTAGGATAAAAATGAAGGTCCCAGTGTGGCTGGTCAAGTTGCTAACCACTATAATGCAGTGCCACAAAAAGGTATAGCGGAGAGGGCAAACAGTCGTATATATTACCTTCGAAATTTCAACAACTGGATTAAAAGTATGCTTATTGGTAAGTGAAAATTAAAACTTCCAGTTTTATTCAATAAATATGCACTGTTAGCCATTGCAAAAGTATAGTTAAAAATACTTGAAATATTGTTGTATACTGATTATGGCATTTTAAGTACACAGTATTCGGAATGTAAAGTATGATTGGATTGCTTCATAATGTTTCAGCGGAATTTTTGGAAGAACTGAAAAATAATGGTTGTTCAAGAGCAACAGTACTTGACTTGTGCTGTGGTAAAGGTGGAGATCTTCTAAAATGGCGAGTCGGAAATGTTGCCCACGTTGTTGCTACAGGTAATTTAGAGTGATAATAAGTAATGATTTCTTCTGTTTTATTTTCTACAACTGGAAACTTATGAAATGCTGTTTACAAGATGGGTGTTGATTTTTTCAAAATCTCCAAGATTTTGAAATATTATTAACGTCATGGGATATATTAATTTTCACTGTATACGAAATCCAATTCTTCTTTAAAACCTTCTTTAAAACCAGGAGAATCTGTTCTGTTTCTCTTTTAATGTTTGTCTCGCTGATATATATACATAAGTTAACTTTTGAAGAATAGGTTTGAAACTGCAGATATTGCGAGCGTTTCATTGAAACAGTGTGAGACACGATATAATGGTATGAAAAACAAGAATAATCAAAGGCGACTTTTATTTACTGCGGAATTTATTGTTGCGGATGCTACAAAAGTAACTTTTTTAAAGCATATTCACAGCTGCCAGTAAAGATTTGTAATCTATAATTATGTATTTTTAAAATATTATCGGCAAAATGTTTTTGCCAAAGTTTTAAGTGTTTTGATTTTTCAGGATTGTTTATCAGACTATTATCTAGACAAACGTATAGAATTTGATTTGTGTAGCTGTCAGTTTTCATTTCATTATTGTTTTGAAAGTGAAAAGCAAGCGCGAAGAATGATACAAAATGCTGTAGAAAGATTAAAACCTGGTGGCTACTTTATTGGTACCTTGCCAGATGCCGAAAGAATCATGTTAGTTTTTTATTTTGTCATGTGGTTGTAAATAATAGAATTTTTAAACAGTTTAAAGACATTAAAATCATCGTTGGCACGTAATACTGAGCTTGTGGATATTATTTTGATAAAATATTCAGCTTGTGACTTTCTTCAGCCCTTTCTTTCCTGTCCCTTTGATTTTTTATTTTCTAAAGCTGTTTTTATTTTATTGGTATCTTTTTCCAGGTATTGTATTAAAAATTCTAAAGATGGAACGTTCATGAATGATGTTTTACGACTAAATTACGGTGATGCTGAAAAGCTTAAAAATAGTAGATACCGTCCTCCTATTTTCGGGGCATTAATTCATTTTTCTCTTGACACACAGGTAACTTTTGTGATTCGCCCATCATTTTAAAATATATGATGGACGAATCTAGAATAGGAGATCATTTCTCTTTTTCTCTACAGCAGTCTTTATGTTGTTTTTAGATTTAGGTACTCATAACGTACTGAAATAAGTAATAATATTGATTATTATTTTCCAGTATTGTTATTATTCTCAGAAAAGTGTTTTCAGGTCAATTGTCCTGAGTATCTTGTTCATTTCCCTGTGCTCGAAAAGTAATTTCTTTAATTTTTTGTTTTCTTCGCATTCGGGAGAAAAATACACAATAAGACTCGTCTTCCAAAGTAATAACTCTCTTTAGCGGATATTTTATCATCAGCGTGCCATTTTTTTGACATTAAAAGGCAAATAGACTTTAAAATTCGATACTAACAAATTTTTGATCAAAGATTGCTTGCTGATTGTGGATTAGAATTAGTATACAAAAAACGATTCCCAGATGCATTTGAATACTATATGAATGCAAGAAATGGACAAGCATTGTTAGAACGGACACAAGCGTTAGAACCGTATCCACCAAACAGTGATACTAGGTAAAGATTGAATTCCTTTTACTATTTTACTTTCAAAAGATTCATCACTTTAGCTTTTGCTAAATATGGGCATTCGAAGGGTTGCAGAAATATGCGTAATTTTGTGTTGAAAATCTATGTTTTATTATGAATAATATATCACTTTAAATTTTTTTAAAACATGGACTTTCCTTAAGTTCTTATATTTCAAAGATGGTTTAGTTCTTGCTTCAGGTGATCTTGTTTTTATTTTATTTTTCGAAATTTAATACTAAATTTAGGTTCAGGATTATTTAGCTTACTGTTTATTTCTCGCTTTACCAAATCGTAAAGCTCTGAAAGAAAACATTTATAGCTGCAGTTCTACTAGCATTACTACTGTTATTAAAATTAATCTTAAAGAATTTGATGGGTTAATGGAGAATAGATTCACATTGAATTTATTTTGTTTTTTCAGGTTAATGGGAACCAATGAAAGCTATAAGTTTGTTGAAAGTGAGCGAATGAAAATCATTGAAAAGCATCCATCGGATAGACAGTTCAAAGTGGTACTTCTTATTTGAAACAAACATTATTTAATTATGATAAAGATCATCAGAAGATTATGATATAGAACGATTCTCATATTTTTCAGGATAGGATATTTCTTATCTTTTCAAAGCACAAATAATTGTCTTCTGATTTTCATTGAAGGTGTATCTTGATAATTTTCAGGGGACTTTATCGAAAGATGAATGGGAAGTAGCATCAATGTACCTCGTCTTTGCTTTTCAAAGGAGATATAAAAAGAAACTGAATGAAATATATAAATCTATTAAATGAAGAAATGACTTGCTTCAGGTTGTTCGTGTCACTCAGTCTTGATTTGTTTCATATTACTATTAAAAATACTTGTCTTCATAGTTATAAATATGTTCATCATTCCCACCATTATGAAATAAAAAAATTAGACTAATAGTTCATTAGATCCATTTTGGTAAGGTTAAGTCCATTTTTTTTAAACAGTCATTTTTTGCTGAATTTTTGTGATTCTGAATTGTAAGTGCCAATAAGCAATTTTCAAATTTTAAAATTGGTAACTGAACAAAAATTTCATCTACGTTGAAAAATTTATTATTGAAATTAAGTACAAAAATTTCTTTAAGTTCTTGTAGTTTCTAAACTTGAACTCTTAAATTTGTAAATATATTCTGAATCTAAGTTTCAGTGAATCTGTATCCGTGCTTTTTAGAAATTGTTATTTAAATAAATTGGATCTTCGTATACTGAGAACCTTACTCATATTTTTTTCTATTTGTAGTTTAATTCCGGATGGGTTGAGAAAAAAAGTGTTCAAATGAATGTTATTGTCAACATTTTTCAGGAAACAGCCATTTATTGTAGTGTATATTATAAATAAAAGAGATGTGTGGGTGCACTTACGTTTAAAATTCATCCATCTCTCAAAAACACTGCATTGCTTGATTAAAAAGGTCTAAAATGTCAGCTGAATAAATTAAGGCGACTACTGATTGCAAAAAAGTGATTATCATTCTTTGCAAGGGAGGTATATTTCTGTTCATACAAGGTGGGTATCGTATTGGTAAGTTTTTTGTTCATGTGAGAACTGTATTATTGACAAGGGATGATTATGGCATTAAGATTATGAAGAAATGACAGAATACTCAAGCATGTATTGGTCCCTTGTATAGACGAGTTTCAACTCAGTTCACGGTTCTATCATGCGATTGAGGTATTTATTTTGCTCATCTTCGTCTTCTACCTTGTCACGCAATTTATACTCGCGATACCAAACATCTGCTCATTCTACTTGTTGTCATTATTGTTATGATTAATGTCATGGAGGTGTTAGATATTGAATATTTCAGGTTCTACCAATCAGAATATGTTTATGTGAATTTTAATCGTATTGTCAAAATTAATATAGCTGATTTGACTTGAAGTGTGTACTTGGCTACTCATTATGCATACATTTTGCAATTTACATGTAAAACTTTGTATTTTAGCTGATTATAGCCATGAATTATCTCTCTGGCAACTTCTTAGTTTCAAGATAGTGGAGAAACCGGAATTTCATCTCTCAATATTTACTTTAAATTACGCCTACAAGCAAACGGAAACAAGTAGCAATACTCAAGTTATATTGAAATAGATAAATAGACTTTGATAAGTTCATTGTTCCTCTGTTTATTTCATATTTATTCATCAGTTTCTTGCGTGACAATGAGCAGCAACATTTGGTTGCGATTTCAGACGAATGAAAGTAGCTTCATTTCAAGTATTATTTGCTTCTTGTCAAGGTTATAAGTCAAGAATAATATATTATTGTTATCATTACTAAAATGTTAAATGACATATTTTTATTAGTACATATGTTGTGCAAGGGACATTATCAACTGAATATTAAAATTGGGGAGTGATAAAAAGCATCGAGAAGTGTAACAAATCTTGGGAACTATCTGGATCTTGGAATCTTGGGAACTAGTGCTATTCTTATTAAATGGACTTCACTGTTCTGTCACGGATATCTCAAGATCACAAATTACATATTAAATTAAAAAGATTTGGAGTATTTTGAAAGTGTAGCTTTTCTGGAAATAGCAGGATTAATTCAGTAGAAATGTTTGAAATCCGATCTATAAATTTGACCTTATCTAAATGTCTTCCCAGAAAGATATATGACCTGATAACATTTGCTAAAATTCTATATGGTCATCAGTTATTCAATCTTGAAGTTACTTATTTCTATTAATTCTCAAATGATATCGGACACCAGCTTTGAACAATTTTAATTTTAAAAGTGCCAAAATAAAATATTACGGAATTAAGAGATATCTAAAATAAAATAAAAATATCCAGAGATATACAATCAATCAGTAATATATTTTTGCATCTCTTATTTTAAAAATAAATGAAGTGTTAAATTCAAATTCAATTCATTAGGCCTTGTATGCTTTTATGCTAAATTTTTAAACCTCATCACTTTATATCTCTGTATAGTTCAATTTTTACAAATATGTGAAACCTAAAAATTTTATTTTCGATTAAAAGTATGATCTAGAAAGTTTGGAAAGGAAAAATTTTTTAAGAATTTACTTTGCATATTTTTTCAGTCTAAAGTAAATTATATTATTTAGTCAATCTCAGTGCAGATATTCGAAAAAATTTGTACTAAATTCAACAAACATCATATTACAGTACTTATTGAAATGAATCACGATTCTGCATCTCTTAGATTCATGCCTTCAAGCGTTAAACATGAATGGGTAATTAACTAGTCTAACTTATTTCAACTGAAGTTATTAAGAAAATTATGCCTTTCAGAAGTTTACGACATCTCTTTCCCTTTATATGCTTATTAATACTAACTATGAATTAATTTTATGATACGCTTGTATGGTTTTATGCTTTGCTACCGTCAAATGATTACAACCTAATTTTATTATTTACTGGCGGTTTAGAATAATAAATGAGAATTTTGCTGCAGTAAACACCACGTGTAATTTTGACCACATTTTAGCAGTAAACATTTACTGATATTGTTAGCTTTACTGCCAAGAAAGTCTTTCTTAATATTAAACACTTTGTGCATACAAAGTTAGTTTCATGCATATTCAACGTGAAATTAAAGTATAAGTGTGAAGTGAGGAGAGTTTTGTGCTCGAATTGTTTAGCACTTTATAAATTGTATTAAAATTTACTTAGGGGAGCTAAAGTAGCACTGAGCACTTTTGTTTTGTATTTAGACTATTAATTACTTATTTTTCAAGCTTACAGCAGATTGTAAGTCGGTTTTTTGGTCAAGTAGCACATACTACAAATTAAAATATGATCTGCTAATTTTTCATCTCACATTGACATCACCATAATTCATGCGCAGTTTACAGGAATTTGCATATTTCACATATGTAATCAAGACCTGTCCTTTAATGGTTCCTTATCTTATCAAGCCTGGTACCGTAATAACAATCTAACACTACACATATATTAGTATCATAATCACGTCTTTTTTATCATACTGATTACTTTTGATAAAAGAATTCTTTGGGCCACTAGTCGAGATACTAAAATCATGCATGAAACTCATGGTAATTATGGAATTTAAAGGTAATGGAATGAAACTTTTCAATAATCTAAAAAGTTAAAGCGAAATTTAAACCTACCAAATATCTAACCGTAAAAAAAATTTTTCAACATGTAAACATATAAATTTAGTTTACCGCCAAAATAGAGACCATTTGTATGCATAATAAATGCATTTCTTGATGATTATTAAACGAAACCCCTCAAAATTTGCATTATTTATTCAAATTTCGACTTTGACATGCAAGTTTATTTTCTCTCTTTCTCTGAAGTTTATTTTCTGAAATAAAACATTGTTTATGTAACTAACGGACACGAGGAAAAGAGCTTGATAATTATTTCTTCCATTTATTAAATTTTATACCACAACAAAATGATATTCATTTTTGTTATACAGCTGATTATTGTTTGTACTACTTCCTCTCACTCTTTCGCCCTCACTCTCAATCTCTGATACTGACAGGCGCGCCGACATAACCAATTCGATCTACTTTATGATATAAACAAAAAATTTTTCATTATTTTAAACATTTGAGTTTAACTCGAAATAATAATGAAATATGCTAATATTTTGTATTCCACTTCATTGAGCAGATGTAATTGCCTACAATAAATAGTTAATATATATAGTATTCAAATCATTGTACTGCTGAAGTTCCTCAGCTCTTTCAAGTAAAGTTATCACGCAAAATATAAGCCTAAAAATGCTTAGTAATTTTTATCAACTTCTTTTGCGACTTAAAAAAGGTCAATAGTACCTCTTAAGTACAAACGTAGTTACCATGAACTTTAACAACCTGATTATCTACAAGAAAGGTGCATTAAAGCTTCCTTGAGTTCAAGCTTCTTCTGCTCTCATTCGGAATATTTGCATACTCAAATTGCATGCAAAATGAAAACAGCACTTCGACTCATATAAATATTGCCAGTTCTGTGAAGATGATTTAATTTCTGTTCTTGGCGCATTCAGATAAAATTTGTTTTGAATTGGCGAATCAAATGGAGTATTAAACAAGGAGTTAAGGTTTAATGTATCCATTGCGTAAATTGCTAATCTCTTCTTACGAAGCAAATAGAAATCGTTCAAATTTCAGCCTTTCCGCGCAAAACTTTGAAGTTATGTTTTAATAACATGCAGAATTTTAAATTTCAATCGGGAGGTCTTGTGACTTCTAGAAATCTATAGGAGATTATTAATGGATTCAGCCATTGCTTGTCAAAATAAATGTTGAAAAATAAACGAAAACTGATCAAATGATTTAATGCTTCATTCACGATTTGGTTACTTACAATCAAGTTGATATATTGAATGTTGCAGAAAAAAACTGAATGAGTGAAACTCATTCAACTTTTCACAAGACAAAAAATTTTCTTCTTTTGTATACTTGCAAAATTAGCACAAAAACTGTAAGAACTATAATTTGTATAAGAACGATGCAAATGGGTATAAACCGAAGAAAAATGGAAAAGAAAAAACCTAACAAACAAATAAAAATTAATAAATTAAGGCAATTTAAACATACATATGTATAATTTTAAGTACATGAACGAACGTGAATTGAACACAAATTCCAAAATATATTGAAAATTGACAGAAAGTGAATTAAAAAATATGAAAAATAAACAAACAAACATATCTCACAAAAAACTTGTTGCTGAGCTAACACTTCCCTTGCTACTACGTTCATTATTTGAGGCATACTTAAAATCTAAATTAAGGTGATGGCTTTTTTAGCTGCTAAACGCATTTTCAAATAAATTTTACAAAGACAGCTTCCCACGTGGGAGCAAAAACAAATACAAAGACACAAGAGGAAAAGTATCAGTAATAGTAATACTAGCAGCAGTAGCAAAAATATTAGCCATTTTTGTCTTTTAAAATGATAAAAGCTGAAATGGTACAAGCATGAATTAAGATATATTTGCGACAGGGTTAAACTTCTTTTCATTGAATGATAAGGGATATAGGGCAGAATTTTAGTGCATTTAGAAGTATAAGTTTATTATATTTTAGACAATTACTTAGGGAGACATATTGAAAAGGTTTCCATGAATTCCAGCAAAATGTCTTCCAGTCATAAGCGATGTCCGTTACTAATGGGAAAATGAATAAAGCATGAAACTGAAGAGGAAAAAATTTTTTACATGTTATGGCTAATGATATATCAAAATACCAAGTTAACGGAAATGAATGAAAATTTTTTAAGTCTTCAATATTTAATAACCTGGCTACAATTTCAATAGCACTTTTAGCTGTTCAAATTAGAAGATAGATTGAATAAAATGGGAGTAAGTCTTATCGTATTTATCAACTTTTTTCTCAACCTTAAAATGTATTACCAAAGTCTACATTCATTCAAATTTATCAAAAAGTTTACTTGTGTGATTTCATTTTCTCACTTTTTTTGACAAGTATGCAATGTTTTGTTAGAAAAATATTTATATTTCCAATTAATACATCAAAAAATATGAAAATATTTATACTAAAGATGTTCGTTTTTGTTAAAATTCAAGACAAAAGTAATCCCGTGAGATCTTCCATGAATATTAATCATCTAAGCAAACAAAATATACTACTTCTCAAACTACTACTGGATAAAAGTTGAAATCTTAATCTTGGTAGAGAAAAATTTTAATTACTTCTTTACAGAATTTTGATCAAATGGAAGAAGACATAGATAGCAAATGTAAATACATCAATGCAATTAATAATCAGTGATATCAATTTAAGATTTGAAGAAATGGTGGATAATATATGAAAGAACTGTTTTTATTTCTGGGTTAACATCTATAATACAAAAATTAACGAATGGAGTGATTTATGAAGACAAAACTGATAGATAAGCACATAAAATTTCACGAATAATGATAATCATTATTTATCATTATTCGTGAAATTTTATGATCTCTACATAATTTTTTACGATTTCTAAACTAAAAAATTATGTGCCAAGTAATATCAAGTAACCCTCAAAAATTTTTGTATACGTTTCACAATACCGTTTGATTTCTGTGCACGAAACAATGATAAAAACTATTCGCATGTTTTCGTGATAAAAATACAAAAATTTTTCTCAAGATCCAATTTTTTTCTTCTCAAACTTTATAATAAGAAAAGAAATAAATGCTCGAAAAGAAAGCATTACTATTATGAACGAGCAGAGAAAGGCACACGGGATTTGTCCTGAAAATATATTGGAAAGCTGAGAAAGAAAAAAAACCCTGCAACTATATTTTCGAAAATAATTTTGTATACAAAAACTTTATTGTATATCAAAGTTTTGATAGTTCAAAAAGCAAAATTGTTATGAAAAGTGAGAAAAATGCTAGAGAAAACGTTTGAATGCCAAAAGAAATTCAAAATTATTAAAGCTTAATTGGCAGTTTTCTGAATAAATAAAAGGGCAAAGACTGTGAAGCAAAATTAACAGTCTACTAGTAATTGGTTACTTCAAGAAAATTGTATGAAATATGACGACTGTCAATTTATATATTTACTACTTCAAGTAATTACGTCAATGTTCTCGCATATATTTTTGTAATCAGGCTGACTATAATATCAAAAAATTCCAAATATTTAAATTATAAATTTAAATTTTGTGGAAAATCACTTTATATAACTAGAATATTGATGAATGAAATATCCCAAAAAAATGACTTCCACTAAGCAATGACTTACAGTTCTTCCAGAAAGAAAAAAAATTTGAGAGGGAAAAGACATTTAAAAGACAGCTGAAATATTTTCAAGGCACAATAAGTAACAATAGTAATAATAATAATAATAATAAGCAAGAAAGTAATAAGGAAGATTTACATTTTGGGAGCTTCACTGAGTTCAGGTAGATGAAGATGAACAACTGAAGAGATAAAACAGAAGCACAAAACTGCTAAGAACTAAAACTAAAACTAATTATACGAATGTACTACTCATACTTACATGTATTCCATTTAAACAAACATGCACACAAATACAAATCACTAGTTCTAACTGAAAAACCTTACTATATTCACAAAAAAAATTACAAAAATGACATTTTGTAATTGAAAAGATTTTGTATGAGAAAAAGTATAATAAAAAACTATACATACTAAGGCTACTACTGAACACAAAATTGCTCCACTGAGGATGCCAATTATTATTTGTGTTGAAAGGAAAAAGGAAGAACAAACAGTTTTATATATACAACAGAATGAGTGATAAAGAAGTTAATGAGAAAAACTTTTTTAATCGTTAAAATCATCTACAATGCAAAGAAAATAACTAAACAAATGCATGCAATTATTTCTAACACTTGACTATCAAAATATAAGACAGAATTTATAATTTTAGTCTTGATTATTTGCTGCAATTCAATATGTAATTTAGAAAATATCATCCACCACCCATTAATAATACCACAAGTGCATCACTACACTACGTGATGCCTAATTGAGACATGATTTATGCCAACTTGAGATTTCAGAAACCGTAACTTCAGTGTGATATATAGCAAAGTGAAAAGTAGATGAAATCCTTGATAATTACAACAAAGCAGAGGCTGGAAAAGTAAGAAACTTCTCATATCATATAAATAATTCACCAAATTATCCACCCTACAACTACCCTTATCAATGCTATTACCGTTAAATTGATATTATTATTATTATTATTATCATTACTATCACTGTTACGAAGCTGAAGACGGATTACTAAGTTGAGCGAAAACTGGTAAACGTCCAGAGGGCGCGCAAATTACAGCACTTTCACTAGTTGTTTTCGAGACTAACATTTTCTTCTTCCGCTTTAGCTTCTTTTCGTCTACTGTAAGGTCAAGTAAATCATCAATTATTCCAGCATCTAATGAAGGTTCTGTATTTGCTTCAGAAGCAAAAGCTGATGTTGTAACTGTCGGCCAGTTGAAATGACACAGCTGAAAAGAGTTTCACAAAATTATGAATCTTTATAAAATAACTGGGAAGTACTGGATTTATCTCATAAAGAACTTTAAAAAGAAATTTATATTATAGCATTATTCATTACTGCATGTGAGATATTATTGATTTCATATTCTCTTTATACAAGTTAATGAAGAAAAATAAGTACTTCGCTTCTATAGAAAATAAATAATCCATGGTACGATACATCAATTACACAGTCAACGGAGATGTTATGGAGTTCCATCTTATTATTCAAACAGCTTATTTTTAAGGCAGCACCACTTGTTTTATATATCAACAAAATTATTTTCTACTAACTAAATGATAACTGATGCAATATAATAATTAAACATTCTGATTCCCAAAAGTTATTTGCAAACCATAGCAGAACAGATATCAATCTTTTTCTACTTCATCAAAGGTTAACAACTGGAAATAAAACTAAAAATAAACTAAGTGCTTTTATCTCATGCCAAGTTTATATTTCATCCAATCTGCAGCTATACAGTGTCTAAATGAATAAAAGTGTCCTTGATATTCCATAAGGTAAAACTTAACAAGTATATTTAGCTTTGACAATTCATTAAAATTAAGTTGAAATCAAAACTTTCTGACACCCTATATTTGATATGAATTAAAAACAAGATAGCCTATCAACAAAGAAAAAATGCCAAGTAAATTCCTTGTATTTCATTTCGTAAAATTTACATTGCTATAATCTTTGCCACTGAAAGTACTCCAGCCATTGCTAACAACAACAGCGCCAGTATTTTCATCGAAATCCAAGTTAGGACTGGTTGATGCGATGGGACTATCATTGCTCGAAGTGGTAGAGCTTGGAACTGGAGATTCACCAGTGGAGTTACAGTATGCTTGCCATATACCGAATGTCAATGACGAAGTTGGTACCGTCGTACTAGTTGTTGCTGTTGGCGCACAAGTCGTGGTTGCTATGACGCTAATATCTGAGGTACTGTTACCGTTCACTTTATTGTTTCCATTGCTAAAATCAGTCGTTGTCAACTACGACGCAACAAATTACTTCTCAAAATTCTTTTATTGATTAAAAGATGTTACAAGCCCAAAAATAATCAAGTCATAGGTTTCTGCAATTGGTCCAACAGTATGTGCTTACATTTTGCCACCAAATACAAACAACGAATTACCTAACAGGTCTCTTCACTATCGAATACTGATATAATTTTTACTAATATTTACGTTTCAAATGCTCCCAAACTTGTTTAAGCTATTTTTTAATAAAACAAATTATATTCCAACATTTATGAAATTTACCAGTTGATTTGACTGACACGTGATTTCAGCGTTAGTGGCGGTTGTTCTTCATTGTGAATAAAATTGCACCGAGGCCCGTATGGACAGTAACCAACTTGGTGGAAAGGTTGACAGAATTCGGTCTTATACTTGGGATGTCTTGAAACTGGTCTTCTTTCCTGTTCGCCATGAGCATACTGACACCTTTACAATTCACTCAATCACTAATTTATAAAAATACAATTCAGTGAGTTATCGCAAAGAATATAGTAAGATTTTATTACAAAAACTATAGACTTACTTGCATGACTAAAGACTTTAAGCATTTCACATTTAATATACTTTTATAGGTACAATCAGTTACTACAATCATTATGATTTAAAACGCACAAAAATTTTGTAACAAATTAAATTTTTATCTCGATATCGTATTGCTAATTTTTGAGAAAATTAGAATTTATGATAATATTTGAAAGCTGAAAAAATAGCTTTGTCCAATCCTTCTGCGTCTTAGCAGTGTAATATATTATTATTCTAACTTTTGAGAACATTAAATGACAAGACAAATATTGCACAAGTTAAATTACACAAGCAATTTCATAATGAGAAATATTACTTAATACAAAAAAACTTGTGATGCCATTTTCTCCAGACTATAATAAAGGAAAGAAAAAAATGCACCTATGAATGTTTTCAAAATGCCAATTATAAAACTTCCATGAGTTAATTTATTCCATCTTGTATCATTTTATAATTTTGATATAATACCAGTTATACAGCAATTATTGAACCCAAAATAAGGTTTTTTAAATACTTATAAAGCAAGTAAGGCTATCATAAATAATAAATAAGCTGAATATTTAAAGGAAAATCCGCATTTTTAAAAGTAAGCTAAGAACTCGTATTTTTTATCTTTCTCCTGTTTACATTTTTATTAAATTTCCGAATCTCTTTCATTAGGAGCAAATATGGTCATATATCTTTTGAAAGTTTTTACATCAATTACATAATAAACTTGTTAATAATGAACCAAAATACAGAAACATAAGAAATTAGATACAATTCCTTTTGCTTAGCCTAATTTAATTTTTAAAAAATAGTTTACGTTCGTGAAATGATACTCTAAAACACATAAATAGCAAGAACAAATTAATAATAATTATTATTATAGTCAAACGAAACTTCACTCGTTAAACACTCTAAAAGGAGCAGTTAGAGCTAATTTTTCTCAAATATCACAACAATGAATGAATGAGTCAAGTTGAATATAGAGTAATGTTTTCACAAGAAATTGAACTAATTATCAAAAATCAGATTTCTACTTGTCCTACAAATCCCAAAACTTGTCGGGGATCAAAAAAAAAATAGCAAACGAATCGTATAGCAAACAAATAACTCTACAAATAGATAGATAGATTTAATTACTTATTTGTCATATGATCCACATTAAATGGAAAGTAAAAAAGAAACAAAACTAATGACAAAATTATTTAAAATAGTGCCAGCAATTCAATTACATTACGCCCAAAATTTTAATGGAACAAAGCGATGAAAAATAGAAAGCTCATTTTAAGATATCAAAATTCAAAAATGCTTATTGTTTGTCAAAAAGCATAAGTATAAAGAAAAAAACAATGGCAAGAAACACTTGACATTTCAACAATTTTGTGCAGAGAGTGGTAGCATTGAATTAAGAATATCATCAAAGGTGGATAACAAATTTTCAAAAAATAGTTAATTATATTTAGTCTTAAGAAATTAATTTTGAAAAGTTCTAAGGAGCACAGACTGAGCAAAAAGAATAAAAACGATACAAAGTTTGATCAAATTATCGTTGAATAGATGTGTCATAAATATAATGTAACGAACGCTACATTTAAATTTAAATTAGAAAAAGGAAGATCAGTTAACTAATAAAGAGAAGTTAAGAGGTAAAATTAGCAATGAGAAACGAAGAAAAATTTCTTAATTAAAAAAAAATTTGTTTCAGCATTAATAAATTCAGTGCAATAAATCTCCACAGTAAATATCCAATTTTCTTGCAATTATTTTTGACTATATGTAAATGAAGCTTGATTCTTCCAAGGATACATCTAAGCAACATGGTATGTATCACTGAGATTACTGCCTGACAATCAACAATATGTTTATTACGCAGCTGTGAACACAAAGAAGATGTTTTGATCATCTCTTTAATAATATTTGCATATTTTATTTCAGACAAAGTAAAAAAGTAGGGCCATGCGAATTCACTAAAACTTTTAGGTGTATACTGTTCAAGGACTAAATAAAATTTCTTTTTTCGACTTCAAAGCAATTCAGTTCGTTAATCCTCATTCTCAGCAGGTCACACAATTTGAAATATTGACAAAGGAAGCAAAGAATTGCACATTTTCATCAAATAACAAATAAACGCTTTCCCTTCATTCTCAATAGCTGCTAATAATTAACGACTAGTTTTTTAGGGACACACAACATCAACAAAGCAATCAAGCATGCACATCTTCACATGTTATGAATTAAATGCTGAAAAAGAATTCTTTTTATTTACTCTTCACAACTTTGACAAATACTTTTAAAATCAGTGCGAAAATTCCACTAATATCAAAAATCATAAAGGTCCAATTCCAATTTTAATTTTAAAATGTTCAATTATTAAAAAGAATGAATCAAGCACGACACAAATATTGCATCTGTTTTCGCGTTTCGGTAAACATCTTCCAATATTTAAATAATTGAATCATTTAGCAGTTAACTCTTTTTTTTGTTGCCATTTTTGCAATAAATGGAGTGATAAGAACTTACTTATCACCATAATTACATCGTCCACAATCCATCCATGTCCGACACAGTTCAGTTTTATACAATTTGGAGTTCCTTTGTGACTGTGCAGTGGTTTGGCTATTACTAGCACTGTTATTATTATTTTTCCCTGAAATGAAATTTATTTTCATTTGTTTCGATTGTGTATTCAGTTAATAAATTGATATCAGCCGCATGAGATTCCACTGGATGATAACAATTAAAATCAACAATATGAATTTAACTTTTAAGTTTTCAACTTTAAGTAGTGAATTATAGGGTTGAAAACCTTGAAAGGAACGTCGTTAACACTTTGTGAATAAGCTAATTTCACACGTTTCAAGTCGAGATTTACTATTAAATTACAAGGTGAATTTTCTATGCCTGCATTTCCAAAGCACTGTGCATGACAATACAACAAAATTGATATTATTAACTTAAGAACCAATGATCATTTTAAACGCCTAAACATGAGATGAGTGATTTAATACAGTGAATCAACTACAATTTTTTCACAATTTGCAAATTTTATTTGTTGTATAACACTAACTTATTCTCAAGAAATTCTGTAACCTAAATAAAATACACTTATGTGCATCGATTTTTTGGCGTAATTGCATATTTACTTATTTCTTAACAAATAAGCTTCTGCGCAGTAGTGGAAAAATCACAAAGTATTTGTACGATTTCTTTAACGAATTTGCAATTCCTTAAATATATGCAGAAAACTTCTAAAATATGCAATTTACATAGTAATAGTTGAACAAATTTCAGAAAAAAACGCAACCTGAACCGTTTGCTACTGCTCGTGGTGAGGATGAAATTTCATTTACCAAACTACATGTTCGGCGAATATTTTGGCTAGATCGTGCTGTAGCTATCGCCGGCATCTATGCTTTAATAATAATCATAATATGCAAATTTGCAACCATTCACAGTATGCATTTAATTAACTAATTAGTTCATTTATTTATTCACTCATTCATCATACATACTGGAAATTATCTAGCTGCAAATAAGTAAATGAATACAAAATAAAAATATTAAGCTCAAGAACATGCTAGAATAGCTACAATAATGATAAACATATTTTTTTCACACTAATATATTAATTTATTCTTCTCCTACATACAGCAAAATGCATAAGTCTTGTATTACATAAGATTGTATTACACTAATGTTAAGCGAAAAAAATTATTGACTTAATAAAACAAAAACAGAATACGAAATTTTCGACTACAAAATGAGAAACCTTCTACGTGTGATGCACTCATGCGTATTTTTCATAACATATTTGTACAAAGTCTTTACTTTGGCATAGAATATTGCATATCGATCAAAGCATTGATGTTTTATTATTTAATGCACCCTTTAGAAACACAACTTACTTACTTGACCCACATAACAATATCATTCTCAACGATCACGCAAAAATATCAGTGTTGTAAAGTGAACATCTCATAAGTTCTCTTTACGGTATGCTAACCCGATTCATCGCGACCTCTGACAAAATTAACACCGGGATATCACAGTAAATATTACAACTCAGTTTAACATGGCAGTAGAAAAAAAAATTTCATAGATACACGACACCTAACCTAAAATAATAACAAAGTCATTGAAATCTAGATTATTCTTCATATTCTGTTGCATAGAGAACTGATTCTATATGTGCTATTGAAAAATCAAACAATTTTTAGATAGTTTTAATCCTATTAATAGATCAGTCACAATTGCAAATAGAATTCTTCTGAAAGATAAATACAAACTTAGGAGATCAATATCAGTTAAGTAGACACTACCACCAAATCTGCCAGCTAGCAACAGACTTATCCACGTGGATGGATATGTATGCATCTATATCACATGCATTTACGCTACAACCCTTTGTTCTTTATTTTAAAAAAATGCAAACATTTCCAAATAAACAAACGACATTCCACACTGCACTAATCTCAACAAATTTTTCATTTTCCCACATCACAAACACCCACAGTGACGTCAAATATAGATTATTACTTATCTTTTGCTAAAAAGAGACTTATTTACTTACATTATTTAATATTAAAATTGAAAAAGTGTAGTTCTGATAATATAAACAAAGTAAAATCATCCCATCAACACAACACTAATCATCTTTTGATTTAACTTTTTTTGAAAAATTATACATAGAAATTATTGTAAACTTCTAACCTTGATCCACCACTTCACGTGAATACGTCGACGCCACGTGCTCTCTCTAAGAATATCCAGAATAACACAAAATATTATTGGCAAATATTGCTTTTTTAATCTGTCTATCTATAATAACACTTCGCAAAGTCCTTTTTATTTACTAATAATACAAATTTCAGACAAAATTTATTGTAATATAGCAAAAAAATGGTAATTGTGATCAACTATTCATTCTTTTCCCACCTCTTAATTTTATGCTAATTAGTTATTTATCCCAAAATATGTATATTTGATTGATTGCATTGTCAGGCATCAAAGTTAGCATCGTACCAAATATTTGCAGAGGAGAACATAACAGAATAGAACATAACAGAACAATAACAATTCTTCGTTTTCTTCACAAATTCTATCCTAAATTATGCCTGCAACAAAAATAAATTTAAAAAATTATCAGTAAGATAAAATACTACGAATACTACCAATAATGATTATTAAACACGAAGGAATCAGTTTTGACTCATTTCATTTTCTATCAAACTATTTGAATAAAAGATTAGACGAAAAAAGTAAAATATGCATATACGATGCAATCAAAATGATAATAAAATGAATCACCAAAACATAATAAAACGAATAACCAAAACACAATAACATCATTTATAAATTGTTATCGCAAATAGCGTATAAATAATGTAAGAATAAATTGTATTCTTTCTTCATTTTTGTATGGAATAATAGTACAAGTGTGTGCGTACTAGATAAGAACATGATCTCACTCCTGTTATTATTTAAATCAAGCTTTCAGGAAAAAGCTATTTAAATCTTACAGATTAAAACCATGACCTTGACTTTACCTTCAACTATTATCTTAAAGAACTTTATTTAGTAATAGTTTCTCAGCAGTTGCACCATTACTTCCACATATTAACTTACTGCATACCATGCATTTGTTATGATCACAAACCAAAAATTCATACATAGCCACAGTGTTTACTCATCAATGAAATGTTGTATGAATTTTCATTTAATTAAATGATTATTTCATTAATGCAAGCTGTAATTTTTCAATTAAAATTTCCATAATAGCAATGTAAACTAAACAATGAAATAACTCGCAACAATTGATATAAGTACGTGTATTTACGTATGTACGGAATTTACACAAAAAATTGAAAAATCACTTAAATACTAAATTTTATTTAAAAAAGTCTTCATTTACAGGTCACGTAAATGTTCGATATTTGTAAAAAAAGGAAATTAAGTAGATTACATCTCAGAAAGAAAGTAAAAGTATGAACATGGAGACTGAGGAGAGAGCAAAGGACGAATTGTTGAACGTGAAGAATTGAAATGCATTCTTATTTCACTGTCAATCAAAACTTGTTCTTTTTTATACATTTATGTATGTGTATGCATATGTTTGTATGTGTGCACAGGTCGTGGCAGATCAGGTCCGGTCCGGGTTTACTTTGAAGAAAAGCAGAAGCATTGTGTATGCGCCTGCTTTGCTAGTACAGCAATATATGCTTATTCTAGTAATACATTAGGCAGGAACTATATAACTACAACTACTTCAATATCATCCTCAGATTAACTAGCAGTGGAGCGAGTAACTTCTCCGATTACCAGCTGACCTTCCGTTTCGCTTACTAAAACTCGTAGTATTATATATACTTGACAAGAAATTCTCAAATTTCTACTAAGCAAAAGTTCATCTTAGTATACACACATGTTAAAATATGAATGCTTGAAGGAATATCTTGTTTCAGTATAGCTTTCAGTATTATCAAGCAACTAGAAAGATTAAATAAGTAGGACCAAGTCTGTTCCTAAAATTTAAGCAATTTAGAAATACTGGTATACGATCTATTTTTTCAGTTACTTTTGGGTAATACAATGAACCAATTTTCCAACCTTTCTCAATTTTAGACCCAACAAAGACTAAGACAGAGTCGACTAACTTTCTCCAAATGTTGCATACATCCAGGAGTGAGCTGACCTATTCAGCACATACCATAATTTTTATGAAGTAACTGATATTTATTCAGATTTTTCATTTTGCCTCAAAAATATCAGACAATTTACCATTTCTCTTGGTATTTTTTAAACCAGAGATGTTGTATGAAAGTATGCTGAGTCAGAAAGTGCAAATTACAAGCATTAACTTCCCAACTTATTGCTATTTATGGTTGACCTTTCACCCCCTAATTGCGGAATTATGTAAGGAAATAACACATTTAAGTAACACCAATCGTTAATGGTTGCTTGGTTGTCCTTAAGTAGTAATAACTGGTTCATTACGTAAAATTGCTTTGTATAGTATCTTTTACTGAATTCTTTGTTAAAATGAAATGCGCAAGAACGAAAGAAACAAACTATACTTACGCATTTATATTTACGCGTGACATAAAAACACCACATTTATTCAACTCAGGTATTGGCGCATTCTACATATTTTCAAGTAATTGTACTTTCTCAGATGGTTTCTGCTTTATATTTACAAATTGACCTTACCTTTTTTTACAGTTTTCGTAGACTTTAATTTATGAATCAAAATTTCTTTCTTTATAAAAACGCATCAAATTGTGAAGCTCAAAGTATTTGCTAAAATTTGAGATTTACGAGCAGTTATACTGTAATTTTTTCAAACTCCTCAATATAATACGCTATTTGGAAACTGTAACTAAAATGCTGATGGTAAAAGTTAATTTCATATAAGTTAAGCAAGGAATGGAGTTTGACAATATTTACAGTACGAATTTGAATGCTGAATATTCGAGACAAGTTTTAATGATTCAAAACTGAACTTGTATTCTGAATTTGAGCAATATGAACTCAAGTTTCTTGCTTAATGCAAAATCATAACTATTCATAATCAAAATTTCAATACTGAATTTTTGATTTCTGAAAAAACTATTTCTAATTGTAATTAACAATTATTATCAAGTAAATAACACAAATTAGAGAAAAAAATTTTTGAAGAATAAATATGAAAAATGAAAAGAAATAAATGAAAATAGCACAGTATTAACAATAATGTAAAGCAATAAAAAAGATGTAAAATTTCTAAAGCACCAAAACGAATAATTAAAACAATGAGTAACAAATGAAATGAATTAGAAATTAAATTGGAAATAGAAATGGAGAACTGAAAATAAATTTGATCTTCAATTTACCATTTATTCTCTCAGCAACAGAGATGAAACATTATTAGGCGACTGTCTGCAGAGATGAAAGAAAAGAAAGACATAGAGTGGGTGGTAGAGGTGCTGAGAGAGCGCGTGAGAAAGTGCTCAACACTTAGCATTTTGAAATACGCCTTCAATTTCAAATATATTTTTGTAATTTTTTAAAAGAATTTTTCTCCGTCACATACGTGTGTTATTGCAAATAAAAAGGTAATATATTTGTGTTTTCCAAAAAAAAAAATTTTTTTCATTATTAACTAATTAAGAGATTATGAAATGGGTGGACGTATCACTTTTGAGAAAAGAAATTTACATGCGCATTGTTTATATAACAAAAAGATATTCGGGCACACATTTACGTGACTAAAACCAGTTGAATATGATGAAAAATTGAGTATATCTCACGTGTAAAATTCTTCTTCACGTGAAATTCAAGTGAAACACATGATATTGTGCTAAGCGAATCTATCTGACCCTTTACGTCTCTTCTACTATAAAAATGAATAGTGAGACGTGAGTGGATAACA